GTACCACTAAGTTTATTTCAGTATAAGTAACAATGATAAGCTTTAAATGGCTTCATAATTGCTAATAATAATAACCTTACACATCTCACATGGCTGTCTGATCTTTAACTAGGCAAATCTATAATACCCAAACTGATTAATTATTAGTCCCATGTGGTTACCAAATCAGTAACACTTGGCGAGAAGACAAAGGTGCTTGTTCATTTTTTATAATACCAAAACATTAACACGAGGTCTGCTTATTTTGGGATCAGACGGTCATGTGTGAGATATATGTATTATTATTGATTGAAGTTTTTTAATTGACCTATTCATAATGCCACATGCTTGATTTAAATCATATAGTATTTATAGAATTAATAATTTTGTGGCAATGTAAAATGTAAGGACCGGAACTATTAACTATTTGCACTTTAAAAAATTAAAGAAAATTGTGAAAATTATACACAGATCAAAATGGGGCTGATGGCTCAAAATGTACACTTCACTGAATCTAAAAAGTTGCGACTTACTTCTTGGCTAGCTTCTTAACAAGTTTCTTGTTCTTGTTCAGCTTTTTCAGAGCCTCTGCATCCATGCACGGTACATTCTGGGTTTTGGCCTCATCACAGTGCTGTTGATCTCCCAAGATGCATACTTGCATCTTAGGCCTAGGAATGTACTTTAGCCTGCAAATAAAAGCTATTTTAAAAAAACCGCATGGAATAATTACAATCTTTGGAAATGATAAATGATTTATCAGACAAAAGGTTTCTCTCCAATATTGACAGATAAGCCATGCAAATGTATTCATCATTTCAATATTATAGAACTAGTTAAAGACAGTGTTCCTGTTGACGACGGTCATACCTGAATTCACGACTTCAAGCACTTAAACTAAGTCGGAAAGCCAAGGCTTGCCTACCCGTTATTTAAAGACTCTGGGTCGAGTCCCGTCAGCGTGAGCCGACTCCCTGTACGGAGACATTTTTGTAGACCAAGATAATCAAATGTATCACAAAAATGTTCTTTCCAGGTAAACGTACTTGACAGTGCCTGAGAAACGCTTGTCCTTTTGCGGGTCATAGTTCTTCAAACCGATTTGAATCTCGACTGTCTCCAAGAAATTGCGTTTTTTGTCCTTCGATGCCTGGAGGACCGCATTAACGCACTCGTAGAGCGTATCGCGAGATACTTTAGACCTGAAAGTATTAGTATGTTAATTAAATTTTACAACACGTCTATCAGAAAAGTTAAGAAAATAAACCTGTAAAATGTCATAAACACATCAAAATAAATCTTTTAAATAACAACAGAACAATCGAATAACACATTGCATTGGAAATATAACTATTATAATTTATGATTACAAAATTAAATTAAGATTACTTACGACATGGTCAGAGGGTTAACCTCTCGTCACGTTGTCAACGAATAGAAAGAAGTTTACTGCGATGTTTGACGTTTGAGGTAAAGTGATGCCACACTTGAGATGTCCATTTAGTTCAAATAATTTTAGTATCGATTTAACTATTCAAGTGTTGTAATTCAAAATTCAATTTCCGTGTGGTGACGGATTAAGAATACAGACTGTCACCACCCCTATTCATCCCGTGGGTGTCGTAAGAGCCGACTAAGGGAGCAAACTACGCAGAACAACAGCACTGCAGAGAGAAGGAAAACTTGACACAAACCCTATATCAACCCGTCTGGCCAGCGTGGTATAATAGGCCAAAACCTCCTTTCTAAGGAGAGGCTTATGTCCAGCAGTGGACTATTAAAGGCTGTTGATGATGATGATGATGATGATGAATTCAAAACTAATACAAGGAGGATGGGTGGTTTTAATGATTTTAGTGCAACATCAACTTTGCTTCGTACTTAAGTGCCGAAGAACTCTGTAAGATCTAATACAAAACAAATGGAACTCATTTATTTTAATAGCATTAATAACTTTAAAAGTTCGATCGTTAAATAAAAAAAGCTAAATAAACGTGCGTGTGAGAAAAGTGGAAAACAATCAATATTTGTCAAAAAGAAAGATATACAGAGTTAGTTGTTTGTGTCGGCAAATAACACGCACAACAAAATGTGTTACTGGTATTAATATCAATCTTAATGATTTACTGTACAACAAAAAGAACATTAAAGATAATGTTAATGGCGGTGAACGGCCAAAGATATTTATCAAGCCACGAGTCTGATTAAGGCAAAGTAATTGATTTTAAATCTAGGAATCTACTTTTTATTTTTATTTGTTGACGCGGTGGAAAATCCCTTTGGATCTCCTGGGGAACTCGTTATTACAGGTCCTCCCCAAATCGATTGTCGATGGCTGGTATTGTCCCCGACGTCCTCTACGCCCGGGAAAGGCCCTTTCCCGATCCCGTTTAGCGGTCTCTTTCTGGAGCATTACAGCTTCACAGAAAGAGACCACTAGCCCTCCTCACTCGCCAGCAAGGCAGCAATGATTGCTGGCGGGCAAGCAATCTACCTTGGACTGTCGTTCTCCTAATGAACCTACTTGGATGAAAGAACACTATCGTAGATCTCAGTGTGCATTTCAGCTTGTACTCTGAAAGCTAGATTGACTGATAGAATACTAATATACTATTTTATTTTTATTTTTTTGGAAATACATACATATTGTACATATAAAACACTCAAACTCCAAAACAAATATTTGCAGATCATACAAACATTTTGTCTGACCAGGGAATCGAACCCGAGACCTTAGCACAGCAGTCACTTACGCTACACCAACACCACCAAGGCAGTCAAGTCAATTAAGTATAGTTTGCCTTTCTCTAATTTATTTTGGTTTGACTGCGGTCTGTTTGAAAGCGGAGGGCCGCTGCTCCAAGGGCACCAGCCCTCTCCTGACCCACCCCATGACTACTTAAATATGCATATAGCGACGGGCACGATCGATAAATATATATACCGAGCATCAAATTAAAATTTTATTTGGTGTGTTATATTTATGTGACAAAAATAAGCAGGTATAAAGTGGTTAACGGTTTGCAGTATTAGAATAGGGTAGCGTATTTGTTGTTTCTTCGCACTTTCTCTAAAATGAATGAATTTGGGGAGACTGGTTGCGGGCGTCTGACTCTAGTAACGTACCAATCTGATTGTAATATTTCTGGATCATGTTGCCACCAACCATACTGAAATGTGGAATCAAAAGATTGTTTCTTGTGTTAAATACCTATCGTTAGATTCAAATCCAAATTTGTTTTTATATTTGGATTAATTTATCAAATTTTTTATAGCAACAACTGTGGTATTTGCTTATATTTATGTCTTCGAATAAAGTTGGAAATGTAGAAAATAGTTTTTGATGTAGATCCATCGATTTAGTTCAAGATGTTTTAACACTTATACGATGGATGGTTAACTTAGTACGTACCTCCACTGATGTTGCAGGAGGAAATCTATACATATCACATGGGAAGGGAGGTTTAATCACTCCCTTTCGTTTCATTTTTAGAAATCTTTGAAATGAACCATAGGCAAATCCATTTACTCTTCCAATGTAAAGATCGATGTTTCGGACAATATTCACGTCTGGTCTTTTTATCTACAATAGAGTAGAAATGAATTAGGTATCAATTTCTGAAATAGTTGACTTACGTATAATATCGGGGCACGACTGTGTCTTCGCCAAGTCAGGTGAATAAAACAAAAGGTCAGTCCTACCTTTTCTCAGTGATATTCATAAAACTTTCATTCCCTATTATCTTGTTTTGGTAAATGCTAAATGTCTAAAAAAAATTAATGACTGTGAAGGCAGTTTAAAAAAAGCACTTGCTGTATTGAGCCCATAAAGTAAAGGTTGGGGCCTCTCAGTGTAATTCTATTAACAATAGGCATGGAATTTTAAAAAATACTTTGATGTTCAATTTTTCGCCATCAAGGAAGTACTAACAGATCGATAAGTTCATTAAAATTGTCTGTAGATATTATTGTGTGTTATACAAGTTTTGTGGACAAAGAGAGACAAACATAGAAGTAGCATGTGGCTTATTTTACTACTATTATTTTACAATTTTCTTAAAGTTTACAATGCACAGGTGTGCATTTTGGACTTAGCAGGTACGGTACGGTACAGGTCGACATAATGGCGTTTTCAGTTTAAGCTAAATATATAATTTTTTTTTAATATTTAACTAGGTACCTCATAAAATTTCTGTGTAGGCAATCTGAAAACTCGAGCGTCTATGTTTAAACGAAACAAATTTGGTTTTAGCCATAGTATGTGGTTAGCTATTCTGTAATGCGTACATAAGCAGGTCGTCATCATTTCAATTTAAGATGCGCATGAAAAATTAATGTAGTATATATATAGTGAGCGATCCTAACTAACAAATATTGTGTGATGAACACGATCGCCTTTTCTGTGTCTGTTTATTTATCTAATTTATTTCTTTATATTTATTTTTTGGTAAGGTGAGGTGATTGCTTAGACCACTATGCCATTCGTGCAGTTATTTATAATACTTATTTGTTTATTTATATCTTTATTGTATACACTATTAGAAAATAACAAAAGATGAGTTACAAATAAGTAGACGTAACAATCGGCGATTATCGTTCATAGCGATCTCTTCCAGACAACCTTAACACGAATTTTAGGTATTTAAAAGTTTAGAGTAGTATCCATAGCCATACATATTTGGAATATATAATATATTAAATAGCGAAAAAAAACTGTATTTATAATGACAGATAAAAATCCTTTGATATTTAAAAAAAAACAGGGAAAGTTTTAGCTAGTCGGATTGTTTCAGGCAAGTTGTTCCAGAGTCTTACTGTTTGCATAGTGAAAGATTTGTCTGCAAACGGGGATGAATGTTTTGGCTTTTATGACGTTCTTTTAGATAAGAGGGTGTGTGAGGATGAAACAGAACACTGTATAAAAGAATATGGAGATTCCAGCGAAGGCGTACTGGTAGCCAGTTGAGTTTGGAACGATACTCTGAGATGTGATCATACTTGCGTAAACCAAATATGAATCTAATACAGAGGTTTTGGAGTCGCTCAAGTTTGTTCAGTTGGTCTTCAGTGAGATCCAGGTAGCTGACATCGCTGTAGTCAAGGGCGGAAAGTAGAAGAGATTGTGCGAGCGCAATTTTAGTATTGGTTGGAAGGAAGTTCCGTAGCCTTCGCAGAGATCCCGCTGCTTCAAATAGTTTGCGACTAACTTCTCAAATCTGAGGACCCCAGGATAGGTACCTATCCATATAGATCCCCAAGTTCTTAACTTTTTCACTATATTGGACAACCAACTGTTGCAGGATATAGGTGGTATCTGCTGAAGGTTTATTTTACAGTGCTGCCTGGGATTTCCTACTATAGTTTTCTACATTTACTTAAAAATGAATGTGCCCGTTGGACGATTGCCCCTATTGCGTAAGTGAGACTGAAATGATATTCGGCAAAATTTAATAAATAAAATTTTCAGATAACTGACACACATCGCTATATAGTTATAAACTAAGCTGAGCTTGTAATATGAAAGCTAGATTATTAGCTAGGAAAAAAAAAAACATATATTGTGCGAACGAGCGGAGATTTCAATAAATTGTGCAAGGAATACTCTCTTGATCCCTTTAATACCAAAAGCAATGTTGTGCGCGGTATGCTAAACCTTAAATATTTTAGATCGTAACATTTTTAGATCGATTATTATTTATTGTATAGTTGTATAGGTGTAGTGTCGTATTAGTTAGTGCTCCAGAACCTCTGTTATTTACAATGATTCTATTCGTGAAAACCTGTAATTGGCTTGATGTAGCATATCAATCTGACCATTTCATTTTTGTAGCTGTTGGTTTTCCTAACTGAAATAAATAAATAAATAAATAAATAGATTGACTGATATAATATATAAATACAGACTTATTTAATATAGAAAACACCGAAACTCCGAAACTAATATTTGTAGATCATACAAACATCTGGTCCAAACCGAGAATCAAACCCCAGACCTCAGCACAGAAGTTGCATATGCTGCCACTGCATCACCGAGGCAGTCAATGTGAACGTTTAAGTATACCTCTGTCTTCCCTATTGGCGGTAAAAACGTGAGTGTATGCACGATAGACGTAGTAACTACTAACATGTTTTGGGAGTGTAGTATACTGTTCTATTTTAGCCATCATTGGTCTAACTTCCTCTTTTGACATTGGTTCCTTATATTCTTCCTTCATCAAATCATTAATATAATTTTGTGGTCCGTATAACGTTATTCCGAAAAATTCCATGACTGATATAAGATTCGGCACAAAATTTAAGTAAAATAATAAAAAAATTAAATCAGTTGTCTATTTATAAATACGAGTATATTTTCAACTGACGCAACGATTTGAGAACGGCGACAACATCTTTTACCACAGAATATATATCCCCTAAAGTGTCTTTTACAATAATCGTTCTCGAATCACATCTTGGTTACGAAAATCTATGGTTAGACCATAAACTTTGCAAGCTAATACATCTATAGGTTTAGGTTGAATACATCCTGTCCAAACACTCCAAACATTTAGAGCCCGTTCACCGCACGTTTTTTTTGCAGAATTCTGTGACATATGGGATCTATATAGGTTATCCACGGAAAAAAATCACGAATGAAAAAATCTTTGATTTGATGCAAATAATACGGTATGATTTTATACATATGCGATACGGTGATTTATTTCCGCGCGAATAAAAACCGCTGTACCCTTACTTCTACAAAATAATTACGATGTTTCACATCTGCCATCTGTCCAGCGACGGCTTTATTCTTTTTATCATTTTTTTGTACTACTTATTGATTCAAATAAATTTAATTTTCATTTTTTTTTTTACTATGTTTTAGACAAACCAGTCTAGCAGGCTGGCTTCCAAAGTGGTTACTCCACAATAGATCATTTACACACTGTCAAACAATTGATTTAGAAATGTGGAGACTATAAGCGACCACTATGTTTTGCCTTTGTCGATTACGAAAAAGTATTTGACAGCGTCGAACACTAGGCGGTGTTTCACTCTCTCCATCATCGTTGCAACATTCACAAGCTACGTCAACATCCTTCGGGAGCTCCATAAGTATGCAACAATGCAAGTACGCATGCATAAGTTATCTGACCTTATGCTGATGGACTAAGTCAGTTACCGAGGTTGGTAGGAAATAGGCAGGTGGTCAACAGGTATGCGGCGCCCTCGAGGCAGACCATCTGCTCGTGGTAGGAGAGCAATGGATCTGAATGCAGTGGCTACAGGCTGCCTAGATAGATAAATGCATTTTAGAGTTCGTGACTTAAGTTAACCTATTTTAATACGGCAGCACTGAGGTACATAATGAAAAAATGTACTGTCAATTGTCAATTGTCAATCAAGTGTCAAATAACCAAATGTCTACTCAATATTCAACTCACCGAAGTGGATATCGTCATTGAATTTAAATTTGAGTTGTGTTTGTTTTGCCTGCTATCATATTAACGACGAACCTTGCTGTTAATCGCGTAAATAAAACAGATTGCCAGGTTTCCTAGCTTTTTGTGTAAGTTTTTCGTATTTGTATTTGTTGGATACTGTGATCTAACTCTTTAAAATTGTACTAATCATAGGCTAGATTCGCAGCCTAGCGACCGCTAAAGGTTAGAATTATATATACATATTAATATGTAAATCAAGAACTCGCATGCACGTATCATTCTTGTTTGATTTTAGTAACCTCTAAGATTATTAGGCTTCGATAGCAATAAACACGGTAATCGTTTGTGCATTTTTCGTTCTACCCATGACGATTCTAAAAGGAAAACAATTTTGAAGGTCAATTTATTGGGAAGTTATAGACTAGGTCCAAACATGATTGAAATTGAAGTTGAGTTCTGACTACAGAACAAAAATAAGTTTAGGTATATAAATAAAAATGAACCCCTATTTCTACTGGTCAATCTATAACTTGAGAACATCTTTACCAATATCATTCATCTTTTTTTTTAAATGTTTTCTAATACATTTTAGAAGGTTCTTACATTTAAAAAACTTAAGAAAATTGTACAGATACTATTATAAACCTTTTAAATGTAACCTTAGCCCCAGCGTAATATACTCTTATCTACTCATATAATCTATAGCCTTATCTATAATTAAGCAATATATTTAATTTTAAATCAAAGACAATAGTATTCAAGATCTCTGTCTGCTGAATAACATATTATTAGATTGTTTATCTATTTTCATAGTTTATTATCAGATGAGTAGTAATTGTAATATCGTCTTTATTTGTACAGGTTAGTCATAGGTGTCACTGTTATCCCAAGTTAGTGATTTAACAGCATGGATGTGGTAAGATTTTTTTCACTGTAAATTATCAGTTTTGTTGTTTTTGTTATTTGTTGTATGGACTTTTAATGTGTCACTGTGTATATTTGGGATTTTAATTTTAATTATGTACTTATCTTTTTGTTTGTTTAGTTCTTTTTTCAAAACATGCAAATAGGTTTCATTGTGGTTGCTATAGTAGTCTATAGCAACCACAATGAAACCTATTTGCATGTTTTCATATTATTCAGTTCTTCATATTACTATTGTCTAATCATAGATAGCTTAATAGATGTGTATATGTTGTGATGTTCATGATCTGTCAAGGTTAAAATATTTACACCATTTCAGGCACCTCCACAACTAGGCTTTATCCAGGCACCTGGGTCGTTCCTATGTGGCAACACATTTAATCATAATTAGAATCCCTTGTCTTCATTTGAGAGACTTGTAATCTTGTGTCTTAAATTTCAGATTGGTGAAGCAGAAAAGAAGCGGGAGGTTCCACCAATGTTGCGGAAAGTTTTACATTATGATGTGCAGATCACAAAGAAGTTTGTGGAACTGGCCTTGAAAATTACTGCCTTAAGGTCTATTCGCAATAATTCTAAACTGTTTGAGGTAAGGTAATTTTTTAATACAGGCCAATTTTTAATGCCACCTATCAGACTATGCAGCATCAAAGAATACATCATCTTTGACATTTGGAAATAATTTTTTTATTGACTCGTTTTTATTGACCTTTTAAGACCATAACAGTAGGTGCCTGAAGTTATCTATGTAAACACAAAGAGAGGTATGGCAAATACTTCTTCTTTGTCAATGATAACAGTATTATATGAATACGTAGAGAATTTAATGCAATGAAGCAGATGAAACTAGTCATTAGCCCTGTGGTCTGTCCTGAGGCCTGAGGAACACCCCAGGAATCCTGCTCAACAAGTCAGCCTTGCATAAATGAGTCTAAATGTAGAAACAAAGCACTTAACTAACATGTACTATTTTTTATGAGTCAATAAAACATAGAATACATGCATGTCTTATTGTCACCAACAATTTAAAGAGCTGTTTTTTTTTTATTCAGGTATCATGTCACGGCATTGTGTGGTTGGCTGGATGGCTCACATTTATCTGGCTCTTTAACAGCAAGGACCTTTATCAGCTCCAAGTTAACATGTTAATAGGTATGTGTCATTTTCAGATATCCATTGTCTATATTTGTCATCATTGTATTATTGCTAATATCATTATTAAAATGTAATTTTATATTATTATAGTATGTTTTCTGAATTAACGTTTTAAATGCTAATTCAGTAACAACTAGTAGGTCTACAAAGGACTTGCTGATTGTAAGATACTATTTTGCATTAATCAATTGTGATGTGATGCTAAACGGGTTTATAGCCTTTCTTAATAAATGGTTCATATAACGCAATAGGAAATGAGGCTGACAAAACTTGAGATAAGCAGTTCATACAACATTCTTCACCTTTATCATATCTAGTTACCTACATAGATTTCGTAAAATTTACGAATACTATGTAGGTTAAAAAAATCTCAAACTATTTAAAAAATTAAAATTATTTATAAAGTTATCTTTGTTGCAAACTATAATTACATTACACGACACTACATTGAAAAAAATATTTAGAAATAACCACTTTTACAATAAAACCTTGATAAGATTTATGAACATGTGTTGTTACTTTCAAAGTCTTTAATACCTAGCAAATATGTATCAGACACAGTATTTCACATTTATTTATGAGTCATAAGCATTATAAATAGACTTAATACTAATTGAATAAAATATAATTCATTGGGTAATTTCTATCAACTTGCAAATATTTTAACGGATAATCTATAGGTACTAATATATACTACACTTTAAAACTTTTTTATTTTACTGTTTGTTTAAACTGTTGTTCATAATAGGACATGTTCTAAATAGGATAAGCTCTTTGTTTTTTTTTGTAATTGTTTTTAATTTATGGTTCATTATTCAATTAGGAAATATAACCATAGTCCTTTGCGTTAACAAAATAGTATAGTATAGCCCTGCTCTCTGAGCAATCAGATTTCAAGAAATTATTATTTAGTACGAAGGCCTGGAACCTGATGGGCCTGACTTGATCGATGCGTCACTATTTCCTTAACGCGAACGGACTAAAAGTAGTCACTATTTCTTTTTTCATTGAGTCCTTTGTCATTGATAACTATGTATTTATTCATTTTGGGCATAAAACTATATTTGAGGAACAAATGAGTTTCGACCATCTGGCCAATAAAGTTTCATTCACTATGCGAGATGGTTGTTAGGAGCAATTCTCACTTCTTGTCATATTTTTACTAACAATTAAGTTAATTTTATATTGCAGCGCTCATCTTGGATATAGTGGTGATAGCTGTTGTAAAAGCGGCTGTCCGAAGACGTAGACCAGTTCCGATGAACAAGCTCTTGGAGGTCGGACCAGACAAGTTCTCCTTCCCGTCGGGGCATGCTAGCAGGGTCACCATGATAGCATTCATACTAACCTATGCAGATCCTATCAGCATTTTCTTCTACCCCCCTCTCTTTGCCTGGGTTACAACAGTATGTATTTCAAGGGTTCTCGCCGAGAGACATTATATCTTAGATGTATTTGGAGGAATCGGTATCGGGGTACTTGAGGGTCTAATAATGTGTTTGATATGGCTCTCTCAAAGATCGTCAGAGGGTATCTTAGCTTCTTTATCGAATGAAAAAATCGACGGAGGAGAGTACCATGTGTGAATAATGTCTATCAGCTTACGATTTAAGTATAAATGAAATCTATGGTTTGAACAAATGTGAAACTAATGACCTATAGTGATCAGATATTTATGTCATACTTCCAGAGAACTGAGTTTGAACTAAGATGTTTTATATTTATATCATTCTGTAGGCAATAATGTTATATGTAAAGAGAGATACATTGACGATAATATGTGACTACAACTAGCCGTAAACGAATATTTATTGTCACATCTGCATAACGTAAACTTAACAATGTTATATATTATATTCAATCAATACAATTGGCCTATTCGTGTGTTCCTCTTTGCTTATAGCAACATTGCCTATAATTTTACCGAGTCCCTGTTCATAAAAATGAGAACTTTAAAAACGCAATTCAATTTTTTTATTTCCAACATGAAATGTTTAAATGAAGTCTGCTAATCTGCTTTGTTATGCAATATAAATTGAGTAATTTGCACCTGTTGACAAACATAGTTTGAGTATGAGAATTTATAGACGTGTTATTGATTCAAAGTTTTCCTCAAAGGGAAACCTAATTTGTTTAGAAATATTATGAAATAAATTATTAACATTATTAAATATAACGGTGATAACAAAAAAAAAACTAATCTAGTAAGATGTTTTTTAAAATATTCAATACCTGCTTGCTGTGCTTTAAAAGAGGTTGACCATCAAGTACCTACATTCATATAAAAAGAAAAATGTTACAAGTTCTGTGATTGTAGGAACTAAGTATATAGTTTGAGAAGTGTTTTAAATATCTAATGGTTACGTTTTTGTGTGTTATTAAGCATGTGATGTTTGTAAAATTTAAATTATTAAAGTATGAAAAAAAAATATGTTGGGTTTATTTCTATAATAAATTTCCCTATATCACCAGTTCGTGCAGCCTACAGTTATGTGGGCGTACGTTCTTCGTGCGATTGAGTGAATGGCACTATATGGTGCACCGGTGTGGGCGCAAGCTGTAACCGCCCAGAATAAGGCGCGCCTCTAGCACTCCCAGAACTAAATAAACCTAACTACTCATTTGCTTTATACAAAACAGAACTGTCTTTTTGTTGTCCTGAATTCCTGATATGTTGTTGAAACAATGTGTTGACTACATATTTTTGGAATTCTGATGTGCCGTTGTTTTAAAATAGACTCTTGTAAAGATATATTTCATCTATGATAGCCTAGATCATTTTGAAAGGCTAGTTTTTTACTATGGTCATGAGAAATCTTTGAATACGGATATGGGTATTTTCAGTTGCTTTGTGCTGTCACATCTAGAGGTACATTATCCTAAGGAAACTTCGACTAACGTCATGCTGACAGCAACTGTCTTGGCTGGATAGGGATGTACCAAATTAAAAAAAAACAGTAAAATAAAATAAATAATAATAATAAAATAAACAGATAGATAGTATTCGATTTGATTCAAATCGAAAGGACACATTATAGTTAGATTTCCTTTTTTCCCAATTTTCCATATTTAGTGTTGAACATAACAAAAGTCTATCTAGAGCAGTTGAAATCACTGTCATTTTTTAAAAGTAACTTTCATTGACTTAGCGATTTAAAAAAAAAGTGACAAAAGGTGCATACAGTTCAAGTGCAAGCGCTGATTCCCAAGCTGTAGTGTTTATTTGTGACTTTCATCTGTAGGCATATTAGTATCTAATGATCAGCTTAAACATTTTCATTCTCAGTAAGAACTTTTGGATACATTAAATGATCACTTGATGTTTTAAAGTTTACATAAATAACTATATTAAAAAATATTTATGAAAGAATATGACAAAAAATCGATTTATTGATATATTTTTAGTTTTCCCTAAACATCACATCCCTAGTATATAGTATATAAGTTGACGTTTCAAATAATAGTTGTTGTTGTGACGTGTATTTTTTCCGATGGTTTGATGAAATTTTTAAAAAGTTTAAAAGGAAATACATTTTAATTTAACATATAAGTTTCGGGCATCTGTTTAAAAGGTACAATGCACATTATTAAATTAGTTTTATTTAAAACTTGATGTTATTTTAATTCTTTCTAATGTGTGTTAAAATGTATATGTTAACAATTTAACGTGGCAAAGTTCTATAATCTTCTATGATTTCTTTTCCAGCTACATCATGAGAAAACTTAAAGGAGCGGTAAAGGAAACTGCACGGCAAAAGCGTGAGAGGAAACAAGAATTCGCTAAAATGCGACAACAGATTCACACAATTGTTTTGCCTACTTTCGCGGTTATTTTCTTATTGATTTGTGTTTACGTATATTTCAAAACCAGGCCGTCATCAATGCAGTACGCGTAACGCATATTCGACTAATTAGGTACATATAGCTCCTATAAATTGTACATAATAAATTATTTTTACTATCAGATAAACCTATTGGAAATATATATGTGTGTAATACATTTTATGGTTGTGACTTTCTTTAAACAATCTGGTATAAATTATAATGATAGTGAGCCATTACATACAATGTAGTGTTAATTGTCTATGCCTACTGTGTTACTTACATGAACATTCCACGTCATTCGTCCACATATCAGCATTTCAATGCTAGTGTAACTAATTTAATGTAAATATTAGAATATATCAATGTTACTTAATTAAATGTATGTTTCTGTGCATTACCCATAGTAGAATAGTTCAGTTAGAGACACATATAATACCAATTTTAGTTGATATTATAGTACTGACCTGATAGTTATCTAGACTGTTGAGCCAGGGGTGGTGGGTTTGAGTGATTGGACAAATGATTGTGTGATAAGTACATCACTTATTCTGTGTCTGGGTGTAATTTATCTGTACAATATGAATGTATTTAAAATAGCTAAATTCGGTTAGAAGTCTTCTACCAAAGTACAGGCTTTGGGGATCAGATAGCTGTGTTTGTCCTAACTATATCTACCCTATCATAGAGCAGCCTGTGATAATTTGTTTATACTTACAATTAATTAATTATGGACTTTTTTTACTAGAGATTAAAGTTGTCAAGCATAATCTACAATTTATTAAATATAACTAATAGAAGGATATTTATCACTTTGTAGACCATTCTTTATAGAGATAGGGGCACCTCATACATCTATTTGATCCCAAATTAGGTAGAGCCCTGTGTAGTAACATGTATGATTTGGGCAAGTTGTGATAAGTTAATGTATGTTGGCATACAGTAACACATACATTAACTTTTCGTAATTTGCCCAAAGTATACAGGTTACTACATAGTAATCCAAATTACACTATGTTATTTGAACACTATTAACAATCCAGATAAATCCGAATCTGTAAAATAGATCTACGAAGTATCCACTAAAGACCTATTTGTCACTGTGCGGGTTCCAACACATGATAGATGGGGGCAACACATGTGACTTCAACAGCGCCTAAGAATTGTGACCCAGAAATAGGTTTAGGACCTATAGACATTGTAAGAATGGGAGAGCTATACATGGGCACTATTGGACCGGCTCGACCACTGTGATAATAATATAATAATAATAATGTATCCCTTTATGGTACACCAGATATAAATATACAATAATTGTCTTAAACTAGGTTAGTACAAGTGGTGGCCTTATCGCTCCGAGGCAATCTCTTACTGGCAACCGTAATACCACAACCTTGCAGTAAACCGGTGCTAAGGAATTCTTTAGTTCCTTTTTCACCGAGTGAGTGAGGTTACCGGAGCCCAAACCTTTCCTTTCCCTGATTCTCGTTTGCCTTCCTGTAACATAATAAAAATATGGCGTAGTGCAGGGATTCCCAAACTTTTTTGGGCAAGAGACCCCCCTTTCTAAAAAGAACTGATACATCAGACCCTCATAGCCTAATTACGACACGCTTATCGACTTGATACTTACCTAAAATGATACTTCTTACTAAAATATAAGTCATTCTTATAACAAGTTGGTATCACATCATCATCATCACATCAACAGCCTATACTAGTCAGCTGCTGGACATAGGCCTCTCCTTAGAAAGGAGGTTTTGGCCTACTATACCACGCTGGCCAGACGGGTAGGTATAGGGTTTGTTTCAAGTTTTCCTTCTCTTTGCAGTGCTGTGGTCCTGCTTAGTTTGCTCCCTTAGTCGGCTCTTACGACACCCACGGGATGAATTGGGGTGGTGACAATTTGTATTCTTAATCCGTCACCACACGGACACACCTACTTTTTTGGTAGTAGTGAAGGCTCTGGCGGAGGAAGCAGTTTCCCGGGGCGAACTGGTGTTGGCGGTGTCCTTGGACATCGGCAAGACGCACCACGCGGCAACCCTGAGGGCCACGGCCGGGGTTGCCCAAGTCGTTAAGCGAATCCGGCGGCTGAGTCTCGAGGTGGCTCTGCACGAGTCCGAGGCCCTGTTCTTCCACGGACTTCGGAGCAAGCCGCCTGAGGGATCTAGCCTCACGGTAGGAGGCACTCGCATCGGCATCGAGCCCTCGATCAGGTATTTGGGGCTCGTACTCGATGGCCGATTTCCGGATATCATTTCCGAGGTCTGGTCCCCAAGTTGGTTGGGGCAGCGGTGCGTTGGCGCGGTTGCTGCCCAACATGACCCGATGACTCCCGCAGGAGACTCTACTCGGGGGTTGTGCGGTCCATGGCCCTTTACGGGTGCCCAGGATTTCCGCACGGAAAAAAAAGGGGTGGATTTTCAGACCTCGTCGACCCTCGTAGAAATCTCTGGCGTAGTGGTTTAAGCGGTCGCCACGCCGCTTATTACTGTGCTGAGTATTGTGGGTTCGATCCCCACATGGGATAACACTTTGTGTGATCTAGAAATTGTTTTTCTGAGTCTGGTTGTTCTTTGTGTCCGTTTCAAGTATGTCTGTAAAGTCCCCCGCGACACAAGAATATATTCCTAATGCGGGAGTTATCTTTTTGAAAGAAAGAAAAGAAGAAAAAATGCACTACTCTTAGACCTATTGTAATAATCATAGTGGAATTACATACTTGTATGTACGTATATAGTTCGTCCATGTTCTCAATCAATACCTATCAATATTTTGCTATGAGGGATTAACCTGAAAATAAACTTGCGGTGCTAATAAATCTGCTGCTTTACAATAAGTATGTAGATAAGCTAACTATTGCCAAATCTTTGTCTATTTTGTATTTGGCAAAAGAATAAGCACAGTCTATATGATTTTTAATTCTATTAGAATTATTTTATTCATAGGAGACTTAATACGTAATATTTCTATATTTTATTCAGGCAATGAATTCTACTTACAACAGATAAAACATAGTCACTGCAACATGACGTATTAATAATAGTTTTATAATAATATAATAGGCAAATCGTAAAACTCAATCACCAGCCAGATGCTTGTGTGATGCCAAACTAAAACAAACACAGGTGGTGTTTGTTTTAGTAATATATAATGCCTATAATAGCACATCAACAAACTAGATTGATTTTATGAAAATAATTTTATTTGCAATACTTATCTAGTATTGTATATAAATTTATTTAAAAAAATTACCATAATTAAGGGTGAACTTTTGCAAGGTCGTCAAGGTCATTCGTATGTCTTTGTGTGACTACATGCACAAAAAAAGAACTAAAATCTATGTTAGGATCGGGGCTTTGAGTGAAAATGACCTAAGGCATTTGAGGCAAAACTGGGTTTAAAATCAAAACTGTTGATCTGCAATAAATAATATGGTTTATTTTTTCTCACCAAAACAATAACACGATTACGCTACAACGTTTGATAATTTCGGTAGTGGATATATGGTCCCTGAGGTAAGTATCAAAAACTATGCTACAGGACACCAGGTCCCCTCGGATCACGACTATATTAAATATTATATATTTTCTAAACTCAAACATCGATTCTCAGCTAAGGATTATTGCATATTTAAATTTCTTTTAATTAGAACTAACTAACAAGATTAACACCTTTTTTCTGTCGAAGCATGTTTACTGTCCATCCTAGGAGCCATGCCGATGACAGAATAGCGAATAGGCCGCTTACTATGTAGTACTGGGCGTATATGTCCAACATCATAGTCTGAATCATCAGGAAGGTGAGGATGGACTGAAGTCCAGTGCCTATGAGAGTGTTGATGCCGAATATCAAGCCGAAGCAACTCTCGTCACTTAGCTGGCCTGCTATTTTTGCGCTGTAAATAGATATCAAGACTTGTTACTAATAAGAAAAACGTATATTCCATTCGCAAAATAGCGACGCATGGATGAAGGCCCCCCTCCTGACCAATGAGGTTCCAAGAAATTATCGTTGGTCATGGCGGGGCTTGATCAATGCGTCACTATTTTCTTAACGCGTATGGGCTATATGATAGAAACTAGTCTAAAGCTATAACAAGCAAAATCAGACATTGGAGACTCGCATTTCTATATTATTTTTTACGGGAATATAAGATTACCAGATTAATACGTAATATTTCAACCAAGACCCCCCAAGAGACCCCTTTTCAAAAATGAACCTGATACCTCAGATTAGATAAGATAGGCTGATAGCCAAATTAAAAATCCTATCTCTAGTTTTTCCTATTGATACAAAATACTTACCCAATTTAAAAACTTTGCCGTAGGGTGAGTAAACTTGACGTCATTTTCTTATCAAAATTTAACAAATTTATTAGACAAATGTCAGTCTTATAACAAGTGGATACACGTAACACAACTTATACATTATCTTGAAATTTTCCGATAAGAACTTGTGTTAATTAATAGGGGTAAATTTTTAGACCTCGTCGATCCCTAAAAGCAGTTTTCGTTTATGTCGACTCCTGGGAAACCGATATCGACCCCTTGGGGTCGCACTGGGAGCACTTTAGAAATCTCTGGCATAGAAGAAAAAATATGTCTGATATAACATACTTAGGTAGTTGGTTTTTCGATTTTCGAGTGAGGTCAGTATTTAAATCATTTAACCTGCCCCCCAATCGCTCCCGGTGCAAAGGTGCCTATGATACTGGCAGCACTGACTTACAAAAATGGAAATATGGATGACTCTCCCTCACAATTTAAGAGCGAGACCCTGGTCGGTAGAGAAATCGACCTCTTGATAGATAACTAATCAAAATTTAATCGCATCCAACTTAGTATTTCTAATCGATTTAAATTCACTCGGTTCCCAATCTGTTAAAATATACGTATGGATATGGAAACGAATTCGCATCTAGTTAATTAAGTATGTTATGTTAACAATATTATCTCACCTAGCCAACGTAATAGTGTAATGAAAGAGGCATCCCATGATGATATAGCCCGCGTAAGAGACGAACACGTTGTTGAAGAAGGTGCCGAAGAACAAGGCGAGTCCCTGCGCGGCGGCCACGGGAGCGGGGTTGAGGCTGGTGGAGTACACCGACGCCAGGTATGCGCCGCCCGCTCCCAGTAACGTCTGCACCGCTTCTACTGCGCCGTTGTACGACACCTACAGGCAACATCCATTTCTATGCATGTTTTGGAGATTACATCAAATAAAAATTGTATTTACTTTTGTTCCTCATCATCATCAACAGCCTTTAATAGTCCACTGCTGGACATGGGTCTCTCTTTAGAAAGAAGGTTTTGGCCTACTATACCACGCTGGCCAGACGGGTTGGTATAGGGTTTGTTTCAAGTTTTCCTACTCTTTGCAGTGCTGTTGTCCTGCGTAGTTTGCTCCCTTAGTGGGCTCTTACCACACCCACGGGATGAATAGGGGTGGTGACACTCCGTATTCCTCATCCGTCACCACATGGACATACTTACTTTTGTTGGTAACCCTTAAAAACTCGAACTTTATTTTTGTACTTTGCTTAGTAAAGTAACAAAAAGCAATACTTTAGGAAAATATCCCTGAAGTTGTGAACGAGACAAACTTTGTCAGGTTTTATTAGATCCTAGCATATTCATAATAGGGTTATTCTTCAATCGGGAATCAAGCTCGAAACATTTTGGAGCACTGAGTATGTATTTGGGTTGGGTTTCTGGTACCGAGTTGGGTGGAGGTGGAATATAATAGCAATTTTATATACTCGTATTATACAATTCTATCCTAGCCCAATATAATCGTCAACGACATTACTCGATAGTCGACAGCATACACTACAAATTTGTTGAATTTCTGAAAGATAAAAAAAAAATCGCATTAAGATACAACCGCACGATACTTACAGAATCTTTCTGTTGTTCCTGTATCTGTATCCATAACAGTTGTACGTAAGTCTGTGCTTGGACGAAAAGCGCGAGCTCGCACGCGTACAGCGCCGACCACACAATTACCTTGGGACGCACGTACGCAGCTCGAGCGTGTTTTGAGATCAATGTTGACGCTTCAACTACCTCCGAGCGAAAGCTTTGCTGAAATTGAAAAACAAAATATTGTATTTTCTTGGTTTTCTACAGTAATAAGGAATATTGTTAATCGCTCTAACTACCTACCTACCAAAGTACATATAATTTTGAGAAGCCTAAGATTAGGCGAAAATAGATCTAAGTAGTGTGCAATGGCCTATGAGGCCTATGTCCAGCAGTGGACTGCGATAGGCTGGTGATGATGATGATGATGAAACTTATACAAAATCTATGATATGCCTATGAGAAGAAAGGGCAAACAAACTCATGGCCACTCTTTTGCAATTTGCAGATAGATACATCATTACATTTAACAATTTTATTTTATTAACAGAAGCTTCTTTTCGCTACTAGTGCTAGTCGCCGGGATTAGGAGAGGCTTAATCCTGCGATAACTTCACTCACTACTGGACTGCAATAATAAAATTGCTTATCACGGTAATTGATCTGTGTGTAGCCCTGGAAGTTTTTTGTAGCATTCGTTTAATTCCACGTGTTTTTACTTCAGAGGATTCTAATAATATTACTAAATAAAATTATTAACAATGTTTTTTTTTGACAATTTTAAAGTCTAATTTAATAATTAATAATAATTAGAACGAATCAGAGTTTATGTTATAGCCTATATATGTACTTAGTACAATTCCAGCAGCTGGAAAAAGCAAACATAAAGTAAGTAATTCACCCTTCTCAAAAGGAAGGTGTCTTATGCGATAAAGTAGGACAATTCTAATTGTACTTTACAAACAAAAAAAGGCTGTTACAAATTTGTTTGTCATTTTGTAAAGGTTTGTTTGATTAGCATTTTATTACATGTATGCTTACTAATTCTACATAGATAGTCACGGCATCGTAAAAACACAGTAATGAGAACATATAGTCCGAAATGCTATCAGTTATGCTATCATTTAAACGATAATAGTATTTTACACGCATACATAATCCTATGTCAATTCATCACAGAGGATTTTTTAAATATGACGGGCCTGTTGATACAGTGGTAAGTGATCCTGACTGCTAATCCGGGTTCGATTCCCACCCAGGACAGATATTGTGTGATGAGCACAATCATTTGTTCTGGGTCTGAGTGTAATTTGTCTATAGTATATATGTACATATTTAGACATATATCAGCAGTCTGGTTACCATAGCACACACTTTGCCCAGTTTGGGATCAGACTGCTATGTGTGAAATGTGTGGAGTTATCATTTTTATTAATTTGAAACACAAACACCATTTTTTTACTTAAATTGTACTGATCATTGTTGACAGGCCTGTTGGTCCAGTGGTTAGTGACCCTGACTGCTAAACCAGAAGGCGTGGGTTCGATTCCCACCCAGGACAAATATTGTGTGATGAGCACGGTCATTTGTTCTGTGTCTGGGTGTAATTTATCTATAATATGTGTGTATTTAAATTATATAAGTATGTTTATCAGCAGTCTGGTTACCATAGTACAGGCTCTGCCTAGTTTGGGATCAGACGGCCGTGTGTGAGATGTGTAAGATATATTATAGATATATTATTATTGTAAGAGACAACGTGGAAGACGACCGCAATAATACCACGTCCTCACAAAAAACCAGTGTTAGGCAATTCTTACTAGAGATGGAATAAAATTACAATGACATGTGATCAACCATATGATTTATAAACCATCACACCTGTGTCTGTTCTGCTCCTTAATTATTATAATTACGCTAGAGCAAGACTCGCGAAAGGTCTAAATAAAAAAAAGTAATCTTTGATTGAAGAATTTTGATTAATGCTATTTATCAAGACGAAATCACAATCACAAAACTAATCATTTCATAAAATAATTATGATTTATAAGAAGCAGTAATTTCCATGTCTAATTCTTACGTAGCTTTTCACTCAGTGAGTAAGTTGTAGATGTCCATGTGCGGCGGTAATCACATACCATGAGGTGAGCCGTCTGCTCGTTCGCCCTCCTATACCACAACAAAAATCTTTATCTGCACAATCGCAATGTACAAAGGCGGCCTTAATGCCACGAGGCTTTGTCTCCCAGTCAACTTTCAGGATGTAGAAATATGACGCGGTAGGTGTAAAATAAAATATTAAATTTTACAGAATAGAACTCCAGAGATATACACAATATATAAATAGCTTCAGCTTCGCGTGCCTTTGATTCTGTCTTAACGTATACCTAGCTAGTTAATTCATTTGTTATAACCATTTTTTTCCCCGTGCGGGAATCTCGGATACCACCTACCGGTGGCTATGTCGGAGTCGAACCGACTAAAAACCGCACGCCGTGTCGGGTATCAGTAGCGGGGGAACTACTGTGTGGGAACCCCCCTGTTCACTTGGTGCTCCTCTCTCCCCTTTTGGGCACGCGCGCTCAGCAGCGCGTCTCGCCGCCACCCCGGCCTACTTCTGCTAGGGTGACAGATGGCCTCACCTGTCACCCCCAGGCCTGCGCCTATGGAGGAGAACGACCTCCGGCGCCCAAGTCGTCTGCGGTACCTGGCCCGTTCCCGGGCCTGGCGGACCGGGAGACTTCTAGACACTTCCCGGTCCCGCTCCGCCATCTCCTTCGCAAGCATAATTTGCTCACAGAAGGAGACGGCGGAGTTCCACGCACTTTCTCTCCGTACCATGGCGGCAATCATTGTTAATATATTATTTTCAATTTGTTATTACACTGTCAATTAATATTTTAAGATAATGTATTTATCATATTATTAGTTTTGTAATAGTCCTTTAATAATTAATCCTTACAATTTATGCGATATGGTGAAAAAAGTAGTAAGCAGTAAATAATCCAATTTTAGAATACAAGAAGAAACCGTATTACGCTAATACAAAATAAAATTCTGGTAAAGATTGGAAGATGATTAAATATGTGAAGTACGAAACGATAGGCAAATATTAGTTCGTGTAAGATTTTCCTTGTGTATTAACGACCTTCAGAAAGTAAAAGCCACTGGCGAAATGGACTGACGAAATAATCTAATTGTTATGCATACGATGACGTAAGGTACATACCTAATCACTAATATGTATCAACTACAAATCGACTAATAACCGTGTGCAACAAACATAAAAGAAACATACCTATTGCCGCCACCTTAGCACAAAAAATTCTTTATAATCTCATAACTTCTTAAAAAATAATGAGTATGCACTTGATGTTAAAATAGGAAAACTACAGTAGCAATTATGCACAATTATGAACTGCACAACCGTAAGAAACAAATAGGGCAAATAGGCAATGTACAAGATATTGCTTATAAGGAGAAAAGAGTGTTTAAGAAGTCAGGATTGTTGCTGTAAGATTTTCGATCTTTTTTGCAAAAGGACGTTTTCTGTGTGGTATTGGTAACTGTTGTTAATAGGAATTTCTTAGAGAATATTTGATAAAACAGGCCTGAACCGAGGTAGCAAGATGCCAAGGACACAGGAGCTACAGGGACCCATTCAAAGCTGTGAAAGGAATTTCTCTATTCCCATCTTGAGCGGTATAGTCCTTTCTACATTTGCCATACTGCGCGTAAAATAGGAGAGATCTGGGAACAGTTTTCACTAGGACATCCGGATCTCTCTTAGCGCCTGCCCTCAAAAGCGCGACATGACGTCGAGGCAAACGGTGGTGTAAAGCCTTTCCGTCCACCAGCAGCCACACTCAGGGCGAACTTCGATATCTCCTAACACACCCTATTTACCGTTTACGTAAACAACACTACTGAACTAATAAATAAAAAAAATGAAAAATTAATTTATACCTTGATATTTTGACCTGTATTTGTTGGGGGCTCTAGTTCTTTCTGTTCGGATGTGGTGACAGTAGTTTTGTTGCGATGGAAATAGATGCTGAATTGTACGGTTGGAAGCCAGAAGGCCCAGAATGTGGCGAGGACCTGAGCTGCGAAAGAGTTGGAGGAGATCGGTGAGCATGGAAGGATTAAATGAAATTCTTTTTAGTTGGACGCATTAAGTAAAATGTCAATTTGGGTAAAGCTTATTATTTTCGTTATAAATAGAAGAAATATGTATTTCATTAAAGGAACCAGAAGACGGATATGACCACTAGTTTATGGGACAATGCTTACCTCGAACAAATACAATGCCATACCTAAAGCAACACTTAGGTATATAATGGATGAGCAAGATAAGGTTATAAACAGAGAATCGTTTTCTTTTCTGTAATGTATTAAGTATTGTTGTAGAACAATAATACGTAAATTTGATGAAACTTGATTTAATTTATATCAGACGTGTTTTACATCGAATTGCATCTGCATTCTTGAATGAACACATTTTCTCGAATCGTTTGAAAAATAAAATGTATTGCTTTCCGTGAAGAAACCAAGCTATCGATTGCAAGTGAGATGTAATCAAAGAAAGCACATGTAAATATTTTTAATGCCGATATTATGCGATATTATATTGGGAATGATGTTTATAACTATTTTTGCCGCAATAAATTTGACTGTTATTTTATTTTTGTGTTAATAGGTTTTTTCTTCAATATAAACTATTTCATCTTGTTTATTCAATCGATACTGAAATTCGAATTTATCAAAACTACATGTCTAGTTACTCCAAATATCAAATGATACTAAACTAATGCTATACGGAAAATAGAAGGTATATAAGATCTTCAATTTAAAATTTATAAAACTTTTTAACAAAAAAAAACCAGCGATTAACATTAACATTCCAAAAAATGCGCCGACTCAAAATTACTTGGGTATACTTACATTAGTTTAAAAACTTAGTTATTAAGGTTAATTAAAAACTTAAAATAATTACAAAAATATTTACTTAGGTATGCTTACATTGGTTTAAGAACTTAGTTATTAAGGTTAAATAATAAGGTTTATTATTTTTGGCTTTTCAGTTTATTCGGCGGTTTATATTTTTTTGTTAAAAAGGTTTTATTTTGTATTTTTTTGTGGCTATAATCTACTAATTACTACATGCTTAATATTTGCCTTACTTTAGCTTTAGCTATTAACTGTTATATATTCTTACACAAATCTGTAAGTGAACAATAAATCACTTTTATTTCGTGGGTTCTATTCCCACTCAGGACAAATGATTGTGTGATAAGCACGGTCATTTGTTGTGTCTTGTGTGGGTGCACTTTATCTATAATATGTATGTATTTAGAAATATATAAGTATGTTTATCAGCAGTCTGGTTACCATAGTATAGGCTCTGTCTAGTTTTGGATCAGACATCCGTCTGTGAAATGTGTGAAAAATATTATATTATTATTAGTTTCCCACCCTTAGGGTAGGATTATTTTTTAAAATTTATATGGGACCAACTTCGACGTATCGTATCCAATAAAAATTATCAAAATCGGACTACTCTGTAAAAAGTTATGCGTGTTCATAAATTACAATCAGTAAGTGAGCTATCAATCATCCCTTGCTTTCCTACCCTTTCCAACTATAACACGGGACCAATTTTTTCGGGGTATACCCTTTCCAATAAAACAAGAATTATCAAATTTGGACTACCCTGTAAAAAGTTGTGCGTGGTCATACATAAAACATATATGTATATATATATATATATATATATATATATATATATATATATACGCGTCGACTTGAGAACCCCCTTCGTTTTTACGTCGGTTATTAACCCTATTTATTAATTACCCTGATATAAGTTCAGAAGTATGAACTTAATATTGTTATTAACTTTAACAAAGAAATTAGTATCGTTCAGGCCATTTATCTATTACACTGGCCTTTTAACTACTTATCGAACTGTCAAATTCATTGGGGCAGAGTAGGATTATGCATATGTTAGAAAACGATTTTCAAGCGCATAAAGAACTACACTTATGAGTACAATTATACCTCAGTTTTACTGCCAAGAAACTCTTATCCAATATGCTGTAATTAACAATGAGTATAAAAATAGCACTATAAAATAGCTAATTTCCTTGAAGTTCTTAAGGTCAATAATTGTAGCTGTCATGAACTCTTTAACCCTGTTCTATAACCTGCTTGCTAACATCGGAATTGATACTTTTTTGAAGGAGAAAATACTTACATAATAGGAGTGAATATTCTAAGTAAATGTGAGCTACAGACCTGTGAGTGTGATGTAATTAAGATCCCGGTAATTCATGAGGCCGAAGTGCGTCAGGAGTTGCGCACTGACTCCGGACAGGAAGCGGCCCACAAGTGCAGCGATTCGTGTGAACGAAGATACGCGCGGGTATTTCGACGGCTCCACCTGAGGAATGTTAAAGAAAGGAAAGTCTTCAATATTTATTTTACACATCAAAAATATATAATTCAGTATCATTATAAATCGAATATGCATAATCTTGAAAAGATTTTCTTTTTGTTTCAGCTAGAAATTACTTACTATATTTTTTATCACAGCAATGATGTTACTTATTGCCTTATACATGTCAATAAAGACACGCATTGTGGACAAATATTAACAATATGAGGCTTTTTGCTTGGGAGCTCCAAGGTTTTTTTGTTATCAGATGTTTATTTAAAGATTTGGCTCTGCTCAATGTAATATATAAATGTCAAGTAAAGGGTTTTTTTTTGTCAATTTTCGCTCTAGGAATATATCCTGTGTCGCGGGGGACTTTACATTGTATACATTAATGAAACGCACTGAAAGGACACCCAGACTTAGAACAACAATTTATGGGTCACAAAAAGTATCCTCCCATGTGGGGAATGAACACACAACACTCAGAGCAGTACGAAGCGTCGAAGTGACCGCTTTAACCACTACGCAATCCGTGCATTCAATAAGGCTTGTAATAACTAGAGTAGGACTTTCTATGGCCTTCTCCCGGGTCCATCATTACTTTAGTTTCATACTTCGAACTTCCCGGCAAGAACCAGTTCAAGTTACAGGTATACACGATGGACTTCGTCGCGATATTGCTGACATAGCCGTATAAGCAACATTCTTTTTCTTTCGTTGCCTTCCCATATTTCCCTTTCGTATCGACCTCCCAATTTTCCCATTTAATTCTTAAGTACTCGGTTAACCGGCAATAGGCTTGCCCCCTACTACGTACTCGTAAGCCGGATTGAACTGAGAGCTAAGGTGAGTTTCAGTGCGTTTGGGCGATTCTGCCATACATATTATAGAAATAAAATATCGCTTACTTAGGACCCATAACATTTCGTGTCCGTGGTGGTTCCCTGTTTAAAAAAAGCGTATGCCTATTTTTACTTCATTTTGTCTCCCGCTTTGCTACGGCGGAAAGTGGATTTATTATATTTCCAACGGCCTCAAATTTTCTCCTGATTAATTTTGTTGCAGTGTCATACCTAACTCGGTGTGTTCGTGAGTTATTGATGTTTATCCTGGTGTACAGGAGTTACAGTGGTGGGCGTGTGGGAGGGATTAGTCCCGTTACTCCTTAGGGGATATAGGCGTGAGTGTATGTATGTATCTATCACACTGTCATGTAAGTTTTTTCATGTCATGTTAGTTATTTTAAATTTAATCTTTTTCTACGTACAAAAAATTTCCAAAATGAATAAATTTGTGAAAATCGCCTTGTGGACGTTTCCGTACTAATTAACAAAACCAATATTTTAATGATCTTGCATAAGACACTCATTCTTACCATACTACCCTACTCGCATATTAAATAACCAGTTATCGATTTGGTTGTATTTACAGTACACGAGCCTTTTAGCTTTTTTTAGGGATAGATTAATCATTTCATATGTCGTAGGGACCTTAAACAAGTATGTGTTCGTTTTCTTTTTACCTGACTACGCTAGGGGGAGTATGTTTTTCGAGTGTTTGAATATTTCTTAGGCACGCGCTTGAGGGATTTTGGCCTGTGCTTAATATGATTACAAGGTTGCATTCATACGAATGTATTAATTGTGAGAGCTACACTAGGTATCTGAAAATTCTAAAATTAGTCAGGTTTATTAATTTTAAATATTTTTTTACTAATCACCTAGCTTGTTTCCCATAACGTATCATATGATTAAAGTTATGTCACTACGATTATTATTAAATGAATATTTAATTATAAATCAATACAAGTTTACCTTATGTTTATTTATAGTACTATTGTGTTATCATAAATATGACATATTTATCATAAATCTTGTACGTAGTCAGGTCATGATCATCAATATTGTTTTTTCGATCGATTATATTTTTAATAGCAATCATTCATTAGGACTCGCATTCATTATTAATAATAATTTATCTCAAAATAAATCATCGATAGACTTTTATATTTATTACCTTTTAAAACGAGTTTATTAAAAACATGTTATAAAGGACCTTTTATGTTCTGTAGCTTCTGTGGAACCACTAAATCCCAATTGGGTAATGTACTAACATAATTTCATTTGGAGTTTTTTTTAATGGTGGTTACACAGGAGAATTCCTTAGCACCAGTTTTCTATGAGGCCGTGTTATCACTCCAGTGGAGCAGGACGAATTGTGCCGAAACGTGACTTTCGTACAAGTAATTTAGTTACAATTTATTAAACATATACAAACACACACAAAAGTTAGTTTAGAGATATTTTGTGTCTAGTCTTATCATATTTTTATCTATTCATCTTAGTCACACTAAAATGTGCGGCCGTCACTAAACTTCTTTTAGTTTTCTTCTACATACAGCTTAATTTTGTGTGTCCCACAAGTTTTTATTTTTATTCTGTGTTCGCTGTCCTCTCAAGTGGTCAGCTCGCTTACAGGTAAATATGGAAGTATTTGCTTTGTTTCTTTTTGGCTTCTATATCTCAAAAGTAAAAACTAACTTTTATAGGAATACTTTGTTTTCCGTCTCTCAGATGTCTGTCTGGTAATAGAACTTAAAAAAAGCGTAGAAGGTATCAAGTTTAAGTTAATTTGAAATACTTACATTTGTGTCCCTTGAAGCTGTAAAATAATCAAGCTTCTAAGTTAAAGCAATTAAAAGGTACCGCACTATTTAGGCTGGGTTTACCAAAAAACACAGAAAGGACTTACAGGTCTCGGAAACTCTTTAATTTGATTCAACTTCAACTCTTTATATAACATACATATCTTTTTTATATTACAAACTTATATTTTACACTTGGCAAGTTGTATTGTAATGTACGGGAGGGTATATTTAGAGCGCCATTTAAATTTTAATTTAGCAGTAGGTTCACATATCGGACCTAATTATCCGATTTTTTAGATCACTTTAAAATTCTGTTGATATAGGTAGTCATTTTACATAATAACATAAAACTAGGTAGTGAAAAGTTTAAGTATGTATTTTGTTCTAAGTCTACTATTTCTATGACGATTTCGGTTATACTGCGCTGATTGTTAACATACTCACACTCACATGTTCTGAAGGCGGCGTTAGGAGCAAGTTGTCTTCCGATTACTGAGTGAGGAAAATCGGCTCGAGTCTCGCTTCTAAAGTGGAAAAGGGGATTACCAGGACCTGTCAGAAGGATGGATGTTTGGAGTCTTGATCTCAAGTCGAACCACGATTTAGCCGAAGATTTGCACACGAACAAAGGCAGTTAATTTTATACGTCATTACTAAGCGTACATAGTAAACATATTTTTTACTACACACACATACGCGCGAGTATATTTCGTCGTGTGCCTATAAGTGTGCATGTATGTTCCTGCGCAAATACGTGCGTGTGTGAGTGGGTACATGACTGGGCTGGTTGTGTACGTGCATGCGTGCGTGCTTGTGTATTTACTACTTACTTTCGCATATATATAAGTAAGGTAAGCCACTTCTGTTGCCATGTATAAGCCGTAGAAGAACTGCGATGCTTGTAGCCATGCCATGCTGGAAGTCCATAGTAAAATGACGTATACTACAATGCCGGACAATCCTTAAACAAAATAAGTTACATTTTAAATAATGAAACAGCCCTTCCCCGCAGTTTTACTCGGTTATAACTCTACAGCTTAGAGTAGTAGACTAGATTTTAAATAGCCTTACGAATTCAGTTGTCAAATGCAGAAATAATTTTTCAAATACGATTTTTAGTTACAGAGATTAGCGCGTTTAATCAACAAATCCTAAGTAATAAGTTCACACAATGTTAAAGTTAGGTACGCATGATTTAAAAGAAACTTAGCAATTTAAAATCAAAACTGCTGTTCTAACAATATCTTAAGAAACGTACCTTATACCACTATCTTACAATACGTTAAATTGTGCAAACCATGTAATATTAATAACTTGACACATCCCACAATGGCCGTCTGATCCCAAATTAGGCAGAGCCTGAGCTGTGGTAACCAGAATGCTGATAAACATACTTATATATAACTAACACTTATATAAACGCTGAACAAATTATCGTGTTAATCACACAATCTTTTTTCTTGGGTGGGAATAGAACCCGTTGAGTTGGATTCGGAGCCAGAGCTAATCAGGATCACTAACCGCTACTAAAACACCAGACAGCCAAATGATTTTTTTTTCCTCAAACGTTAAAAGTGTTGTGTTTATCTGAATCACATCTACAAAGTTTTACTGCCCATAATAATCCGGAATCATAGCTAGGAGGAATATATAGCTTTAAAAAGTCAACAAAGTAGTAGAGGTTGGCTGCACGGATGGCGTAGTTGTTTAAGCGGTCACCTCGCTTATTAGCCCGCTGAGTGTTGTGGGTTCGATCCCCACATGGGATAAAACTTGTGTGATCCACAAATTGTTGTTCTAAGTCTGGATGTTCTTTGTGTCTGTTTCATGTATGTTTGTAAAGTCCCCTGCGACACAGGATTTATTCATAGTGTGGGAATTGTTAAAAAAGAGGGTCAGATTCCATGTGTTCCAAGGCATATATAAACTTTGGATTACTTCAAACTTTATTGACCATATAAAATTAAAATCTTTTCATTTCGTTTTAAGGACCTTTGTTGCAACAGAAAACAATTTAAAAAAATGTTTAACTGAAAAGTTACTTGTAAAGGATTAGCCACGTTCTTAATTGCAATGGACAACGCCCTATATAATAAGAAGTTCTAATAGAAAATCGACTTGCATAATTTATAAAGTAACATCAAAGCAATTGTACGAATTAATTTTTAAAAAAGCTGTGTCAGAGTACAAAGTCTATTAAATAATACAAGAGTTTAGTGGGCTTGGTTTCCTCGATAGGTCATTATTTTCTTAACGCGAATGGACTATAAATAAGTACCTACCTAAAATAATTAAGTTGCATAAGAGTACAGTAGTATGTATTATTCATAAGATTTTAATTAAATTTCCAAGAGTTACACGTGTTCTTTACGACTGTTATGGTTACATTAACAATTAGAACGTAGGAGTCAAACAGTATCAGCAAAAAAATCAGCAGTATTGCTATTATTGACGTAAAAATACTTCATAATTTATTGCACCTATTTATCTTGTAGTTAATTCACCACGCCTGCAAAATTACAGTCTTTGTCTGTGTATTGCGCTGTTTTGTAGGTATGGAATGTATCAACATAATTGTAACGACAGTGACAAGCATAAAGCAGGACCAAAAACAGGAAATCTATGATCGGATTTATCTGGCTTAAACGTCTTCAATTGCACATTTTCTTTTTCACTTCATTAGACTTGAGGAATGTATATCAGGAACCTTAGAATCGTATTTAGTACTTATTAACATCTAGCCAACTTAAACCAAAACAAATAAGAATATGTAATCCAGTTAAAGGTTGTCCATTTCCCGCCGGAGTCGACAGAGGTTGTTGGTAGTTTGTTTGTTAATGTGATTGATTTGACGATAAGACCAATTAAACAATTTTTATAATACATTAACTTCGTGACTATCCATATACATACTATCGACGTAAAGATAATTTGTAAAACATAATTTACATGACATAGAATATGAATTAAAATGTTTTAGAGGAATCTCTATTTTTAAACATTTTGTCTTAGGTACTTAACTCAGGTCTAAGCCGAAAAATTCATAAAGATATGGTACTATTTATTTGTAAACAACATGTAGAAATATATGATGGCCAATCCACGTTCTTGTACCAGTGGCCTCTTCAATCGGAGGATGTGATGGGCGCTACTCCGACTTTACCAAACTACTGTAATTTCAGTTCCTTTTCCTATCCGAAACTTGCCATTTAGGTACGCTAGCTCCCTCGCGCAATCCGTTTCCCTAATTCCCAGAAAAAAGGAATTATAAATTATATAAATTATCATCATATATATGGATTGTTTTTCCAAAGAAAGTTGGCGTCCGACATGGGCAGATTTATTCCAAATCCAGGAAAGGTCAGGAACATGATGATAAAAATAAATTTTTAATGATTTTTTTTTTGTACTGGTATTGCTACCCTGATATCCTGTCTTCTTTTGAGTTTAGACTAGTTGGTTGTCATTTGTTTAATTTAGAATCTAGTGAATTTTACGAAAAATATTAAGCATTGCTTATGTTCATTAAACATAAACAAAGCTAAAACGTGCTTATGTAATATTTGACCTACCCATGGTATTTCGCGTGCGATATTCTTTAAAACAAGATTCCTTGAAATGACTTCATGTGATATCTTTGTTGTTCGAAAGTTAGCAGTTTTCGACTCTGTTTAGCATAAAGCCATTGTCTTCGATTAAGTTAGCTGCATTCAGAATTTTGTATACCGTTTATACAGTTTGCAGTTCATAACAAATATTAATAGCAGCATTGAGCTTGTAGCTGATATGCGCCGATTGATAAATTAAAACTGATAGAGTCTTTAATGACAATGCTGATAGCTGGTAAACATTTAATTTGGAGCTTGTTAAGCAATCTATTTGTAGAATATAGCTCAATTTGAGTAACTAAAGAGACTCGTGGTATTATGTCACCGTAACAGGAAATAATCTTTAAAAAATATCATCACTTAAGCAGCCGCTTTAGCGACCCGATCAGTGACAAGTGAGGCATCATCACCGAAATGGGTTTCCTCACATAACACAATACAAAAAGAAAAAAGTTTGCATGACAGTATACTCATTAGAACTGTGAGGACTGTTCCCTTTTCACATGAAAGCACGTTAAATTATATAATGAAGTAAAGCTCTGATTAAATTACAGATATTGAAACGGCGAGATTTATCTAGTTCTATTTTCATAGTGTTATGTCATATGGTCTTTTGTTGCTGGGTTCAGCTACTGCTCTATTTCAGAAAAGAGTTATTAGAGCAATATACACCCTTGAAAATTGACAGAAATTAATGCACAATACGTTTTTAATACATTATGTAATGCTTTTTAATAAGACTCTCACAGCTTTAACTTCAATTTACTTGTCACGAAGTTTTGTAGACTTACGTTCATTTAAATTCAAAAAGAACATTATATCCTGTCCGATGAATAAATCCTTTATTCATCGTACAGGATTTAAAGAAATCTTGTCGATGTAGGTATTCGTTTGGCGATCTGCAGATTTGTTTACTTTGAGCAATGCAATACAATGAGTCTTCGTTGTTTTAGTTTTTTGCGGCACTACTCAGCTGGTCATTTACGACGAAGTGCCGATGGGAAAAATGATACGAGGAGAGTAAAAGAATTTCAGGTAAATGATTTCTACCTTTTGAATCAATGTTTTGCTTCCCTCATAGTGAATTTATTCTAGAAAAATAAAAAGTTCATATTATTAATACAATGTTTCGACATTTTGCGCGCACAGTTAGTAACCGGGGCCGGCCAATGCCCCTAAACTTAGTTTAACAGTTATTATTTACCTAATAAACAAAGAAAAAAACAAACCGCAATTGCAAGGCTAATATTACACTTTATATAACTTTTTGCAACTGACACTGCCAAAATAGACAGCTTTTAAGCTAGTACTTTAAAAAAAGAAATACTTACGTAAATGGTTCTCATATTTATTATTATTATTTTTATTAGTAATTTATCTATGATATGTGCGTATTTAAAAATATATAAGTATGTTTATCAGCAGTCTGGTTACCACAGCTCAGGCTCTGTCTAAGTTGGGATCAGACGGCCATTGTGAGATGTGTCCAGTTATTAATATTACATGGTTTGCACAATTTAGCGTATTGTAAGATATTGGTATATTAACGTATCTTAAGATATTGTTAGAACAGCAAAGTTTTGATTTTAAATTGCCAAGTTTTGTTGCAAATCATGCGTACCTAACTTAAACATTGTGTGAACTTATTACTTAGGATTTGTTGATTAAACGCGCTAATCTCTGTAACTAAAATTGGTATTTGAAAAATTATTTCTGCATTTGACAACTGAAGTCGTAGGGCTATTAAAAATCTAGTCTACTACTCTAAGGTATATATATAACCGAGTTATATAACTATACTATATATATACGAGGGGTGATCAATAAGTAATGATAATCGAGTATTTCTAGAACGCACAAAAACCCAAATTATTTTTTTTCTGCTTGATTATATATCCACTACTTCAGCTTCAAAAAAATGTATAAATAGGACACCATTACCGGGAGATACATTCATTTGAATACGAACTGTCGAAGAGAAAACATCAAAATGGAGAAAAATGAAATAAGAGCTGTCATCAAGTACCTCTGCCTGAAAAAAATGTCTACCAAAGACATACACAGCGACTTAGAGGAAACATTGGGGGAGTCTGCTCCTCCATATTCCACAGTCGCACGCTGGGCAAAGGAATTTAAGCTGGGCAGAACCTCCACTGAAGATGAACATCGCGAGGGACGCCCTTCCACGTCCCTTACTGGAGAAAACGTCAAAAAAGTGGAAGATATCGTGTTGGCCGATCGAAGGGTGACCGTAAGGCATGTAGCTGAGGTCACAGGGATCTCCTATGGCAGCGTTCAAAAAATCATTGTCAACAAAATGCATATGAAAAAGGTTTCTGCGCGTTGGGTACCGAGAATGTTAACCGACGAGCAAAAAAAGAAACGAGTCGACATTTCGAGGGTGAATCTTCAAAAGTTCCAGGCCGATAAAGAATTTTTTTTGTTGCGTTTTGTGACCATGGACGAGACCACCACTTTGATCTCGAAACCAAACAACAATCAATGACTTGGAAACGAGCTTCCTCACCAACGCCGAAGAAATTCAAAGCGTCAAGTTCAGCGGGAAAGGTTATGGCGTCTGTTTTCTGGGATGCAGAAGGAATTATTATGGTGGAATATTTGGAAAAGGGGGCCACTATAACAGGCTCTTACTACGCAGGCCAAATAAGAAGATTGCGAGAAGCTATTAAGTCAAAAAGACGCGGTAAACTGCGCGCTGGAGTGCTGTTTCACCAAGACAACGCCCCGGCTCACAAAGCCGCAGTTGCGATGGCTGCCATTGAAGAAACGGGGTTCGAACTGCTCGAACACCCTCCCTATTCGCCAGATCTAGCTCCCAGTGACTTCTACCTCTTTCCTCGGCTCAAAGAACACCTCCGGGGCAACAAATTTGAGGACAATAGTGAAGTGATGGCCGCAGTAGAGGCATTTTGGGAGGGTCAAGACAAAGAATTTTTTTCTAAGGGAATCATGGGCTTAGAAAAAAGATACACTAAATGGATTAACTTGCAAGGAGACTATGTTGAAAAATAAAATACTTTTTTTAATCTAATAGTTCTGTTTCATATTGATTATCATTACTTATTGATCACCCCTCGTATATATAGTACAGGCTCGGCCTAGTTTGGGATCAGACGATCGTGTGTTAGATTTATTATATCATTATTATATTTATTGAAGAAACATTTTATGTTAGGTACCTACTTGAAATGTACATAGGTACAGTATGTACCTATGGCGTACCTACATATATGAACATAGATACAGTAAGACAGAGTAGAATGATATTTTCTTTAAAATATCTATCTACAGAGAATCATCCACTTCTTTACTACAAAAAAATCTGAGATGTAATTGTTACGTAATTAGTAACAAATTTAATAGTGACCGGACTGATAATAAAGATTATTTTGTTCATTTAAATAGAATCGCGCAACGTCGTTGGACATTATATTTTTTGTTTTTGGCGACAAGTCCAGACAAGACCAGTGTAGCTTTGTGTTCCACGAAACAAATACCGCTAATACGCCGTGTGGCAAGACAAATGGCGAGTGTCAATGTCCCATGGCGACGCAATTTCTTATCACATTGAAGTCATTGAATAATTATTACATAAATCAAAAGGTGTCAAGCAATTGTCGTGGGATATAGAGGGGTACATAAAGAATGACTTTTGACATGTCTTGCGAATGTAGCAAACTGACAATATCGGGAGTCATCACATGCAACGCGACAAAATGAATCATAATTTAAAATTTTTGCTACTGTCGTGATATCGTCAAGTCACTTGTTTATGTAGGTAGAGTTTATGTGCATCATGGGGAGTGATGGATGACTAATATTGTTGCTGTTCGTCGTAATTCTGTGTGTACTTAAAAACAAAACAATTATGTGATTCAACACTTATCTCAAATCTAAGTGAAAAAATAAAGGAGGTTCAATGTTACCGAAAAGTCGTTGCATTATTGTTGCCTTTAACGAAATCTTTATCATTCTGTACGAAGTATATGTTTAAAAGATGCTCCAGAATCTGTATAGGCATAATTAAATAGACACGTCAGACAAATAACGAAGAATTGTTAAATTTTCTATATCCTCGCAAATAAATGAGATAGCCGACACGCGTGCGTTTATGGAGCTAGAATCCCCTTATTGAAGCATACAAGTAAAAGATACAATTATTGTCTTTGATCATGTTAAAAACAATTTATGTTTCATGTTATATGTCAATAAAAATAGACCGACTACGTCAAGAAGGTTTTTAATTACCTGGTTACGGCTGAATGAGAGGAAAGTGCTTTGTTAAGTATGTCAATTTTTTAGCACGCTTTGTAGTCGAAACGGCTTGATGGATTTGTGCTTGGGAGGTGTCGTTAGATTCGTCTTAATTGTGTGTCACTGATAAAAATTAAAATCGCCTGTTTGTAAATTTAAGTACCTATACCTTTTTACGCAGTCTGGTTTATGTTTTTATTTCAATAACTAGTATGTGTACCTATACTAAGATATGAAAAGGCAATTTAAAAGAGGAAGTCTAGATTTTTTAAAGTTGTGACGTTATTTGAGCGGAGGTGCAATACGCAAGTATTGTATGTAGTGTTATCATTATAATATATGCATGTATAGGCATGCAAACTTAGTAGGTAATAAATTACTCAGAAAAATCAGCAAATGATTTAGTAAATCATGTAATTTATACAGATAGTACAGAACATACATACATCATTAATTTTTGACTGCCTCGGTGGTAGCGTATGCGACTGCTGTGCTGAGATCTAGGATTCGATTCCCGGGTCGGACCAAATGTTTGTATGATCTGCAAATATTTGTTTCGTAGTTTGGGTGTTTTCTATGTCATTGTATAATATGTATGTATTGACAAAAAAAAGTATATAAGTATTCTATCAGTCAATCTAGCTTTCATAGTACAAGCTCTGTTTTGTTTGAAGCAAGATGGCGTAGTGTGTCAGACGTCCGAAAAAATAAATAAATTCTAAATATAATAGTTTTTTTATTATATAGGGGGCAAATGAGCAGACGGGTCATCAAGGATGAGTCAACTCATGAGTCCCAAGTGTGTCTCCGCCTTGAAGGAAAATACAATACAGAACATCCACAAGAAAAAAAAGTGAAGATGGGGTACACTCTTTTCCTGTAACTGTAATATAATTTACATTAAGACAGGCTGTTTCACTTAGTGTTCGACCAAAGTTTCGGTTTCGCACACAGTTTCCGCTTATTTAATTTTATTGTACGTACGTCAATTCGGACGGGTAGTATGTAAGTTTTCTAAATTAACTTAATATTTACTTGGATTAAAATTTCTAATCTAGAGTTAAAACGCGATATAGTGGTTTTGTTCATTAGATTTTGCAATGCAAAGTGTGAGATATTTTTTATTGATCTTAGACTGATTTTTCAACGTCAGTCAACTTTCTCAACTTTCGTCTCTAAACTTAAACATGTACAATGGTCTATGATCATGATATTGCAAAAAGGATCAACAAAGCAGTAATGGATCTAAGAACTGTGATCATACTGACTTATTAGGAAGTGCGAAAAATATTTTAGAACATCACTGATGACATTTTTTTAAAGAAAGAATGCAATCTTGTATGTCAGAGCAATTACTGCAACATAACGTCGACATTTTTAATTATTAGGATAGCAGTCCATATTTGATCTTAAGAAAAGGTGTCTTAAAGTATGTTTTCCCTACGCATACCAGCGTTCTAAGCGAGCAGCTGTTCAGTGCTGCTGGACAAATTGAAAACTGTTTGTCTTAGTGATGTCAGACTTTTAAATTATGAATACCACCTTGTTTTTTTTTAATATTATCTTTAATATGAGTGTACAAGTATTTGATTGTCATATAAAATATTCTCATCATTGTTGAGACATAGTTAATAGAAAGGTAAAAATACAAAACATAATAAACATATTTTTGTTATATCTAATGTAGGCTTATCTTTTATTTACGAACTATTAACAATGACAATCTTTGCCACATCATATTTCCACATCACTTGGGAGAAAATGCCTCATGGCATTAAGTCGGCCTTTGTCCAACATGTGCACTTTTAAATAAATTGCTAATTAATAAGACTGTTGTGTACACAATAATAAATGATGATTTTTCAAAAAGTTTGTAAGTCTCAAATATATTGATTATTTATAAGTATATAAGTATTCTATCAGTCAATCTAGCTTTCATAGTACAAGCTCTGCTTAGTTTAAAATTAGATGGCGTTGTGTGTCAGATGTCCAAAAAAAATTATTAACATCAAAAATTATATTATTTATTTTTTGAATCTAAACTGTCAATTAATACAAGCCTAATAATATATATATATATATATATATATATATATATAAAACCTACTTCAGTGCAATCTATAACCTTTGTTTTAATTAACACATGTTAACTGTCTTTGTGAAAAAAAAACACTAAATAAGTTTAGGTTTTGGTAGGGGCAGATTCGGTTTCAGTTTTGGCTAGAAATCCTGGTTTGATCAGACACTATTGGCACTCAATAAATTTAAATTTATTAAATAGATGATGATGAAAATATAAAGCTAAGTAAAGACTACTAACACACACAAGTAAAGAAGACTAACATTGTAATAATTATATTTACTTCCTTAAGTTGTATGTTAGTTAACAATGAAAGTCATATAGCTTAAATTAGAATTAGTGTTACAACAGATAATTAACACTATAGTAATAAATAAATAAGGATAAATAAGATATATACAGAGTAATCTAAATCTCTTGTATGAACTTAAATTCCTGTACTTACTATGATTTATTTATAATAAAAATATAATATATATATATATATAATAAAAATATTTAAAAAAAGGTCTAAACCTACTTTCTAAGGAGAGGCAAATGTCCTGTAGTGGACTATTGAAGGCTGTTGGTGATGTGAAGTGAAAAAAAAGTATGTTAATTATAAATCACTCACCAGATAAAATGATTACAGGTTTGAACCTTAAGAAGTCAGTTATAAGGAACACAATAATAAGCAGTGATAGGTAGGAGTATGTTCCTATAGGATACACATCTCTATTCAACTGCTCATCCGTGATGTTTCTCCACTCTCCAAGCAAGAACTCGGAAACGAATGGCTCCGACGGTCTTATCTCCCTCATCAAGCCAAATGCACATAATATTAACGTAATTTGTATCCAAGACAACATCTTTAAGTAATAAAACTGAATAGTTTATTTTTAAATAAGTTTTTAAAATAAAACGACTACGAGATGTAAACACGTATAGTCCGATCTCTGTCGTAGATTAAACTGAACGGTCTTACTGTAAAAGTGTGACATAATGTGTAAAAGTGACATCTACTTTTAATCCATATATTAACTGTTTTAAGTTATTGACTGTATATATATGTAACTGTGGTCCTTCATCCAACAATCTATCTTTTATATAGTAACTGTAAATGAAACTTTACTACTCAATAAAAGGTTATCTAGTAAGAGCGGTACTGGAAGTAACATATTCAAGTTTTTAAAATTGTATATATTAATAGCTATAGTTTATAATGATTTATGTAATGTGTAGTATTTGCTTTGAATTTAATTCGAAATTACAATATTTTAAATTACACAATTCCACTAAATTTAAACAGTTCTTCCTTGGTCACATGTCCTGTCATATGCGTCATATGTCATGTCACATCACAACAAAGTCCACTATAGCCCGTCTAATCTAACAGGTACCGTTTGACGTTACATCCTTTTCAAGACGAAACAACTTTGTAAAGGCGTAACTCACTTAATTTCAATAACCTTTTCCGTAAAACCATTGACTTTTGGAACTATTTTTTTTTGCAAGAAATACAATTCTTAATGACTAAATTTTAATTAATTATTTTAATTAATGCACAATTTATGTGTTTTTTTTAAACTTCATTTCGAAGTCACGTAGTTAGGTCCACGGCGTTGACACTTCATACATTGGCTTTTGACTCTAGGAGCTTGGGTATTCATAACGTAACCCCAGCAGAGGCCGCTAGTATGGGCCGATGACAGAACTGTCATGTGTATATGTCACAAATTTAAATGTCAAATAGTCTGTTACAGTTTTGAAGTTGATCGAAAGGTTTTGCGTTGATTAATTTCCGTAGCTTATTCTCTCAGTATTTAAAACTGTGATTACTAATATAAGTGCATTTGTTGTATAGAATATTTCAAAAATGCCGTTTATTTCATGCTGTATATCGTGTCAGAAGTCGAAATACGATGTTACTTTGTTTCGATTCCCTCGAAATGAAACATTACAGCAAATATGGCTTAAACAAGTAGCACCTCATTATCAACAAGCCAAGCAGCTAACTCCGCAACAATTGATAGAAAGAAAAATTTGTATAAGGCACTGAACAAAAGTTTCTTATTGGCAATAAAAGGCTATATAATGCTTGCTCTACATTAATGTCTGAAGAAGAAATAACAACAAGAATACCAACAAATCCTGTGAATATAGAAGGTTAGTGAGTGGTTAAAATAATTGGTCATTGTATTTAAATTAATATGATGTGTTAAAGTTTGTGTGTAAAAGTAGTTTATAATTTACCAAGAGCTCTAGTTATGTTACAGAATGATTTTTGTTATATACCTCGCTGTTTTTAAATTTCAGTTGAAAGTTATCACACATATGCCAAATTAACTACTACATTAGATCACAATTATTGTAAGGGGCCCTTAGTGAATACGACTTGTGCACAGCCAAAAAAATTTCCTTTTGAAACAAATTAAAGGTTGGGCTCAGTTGATCAAATTGAAGCCCTCAACATCGATGGAAAATATCACAACAAGAGGTAAGATAAATTGACATATTTTTAGAATCACATGCTTTGTTATCTATTTAGTAAAACAACTTTGTTCAGTATTAAGGCAGCTTTTGAACTAGAAAGTTTCCTACTACTACTACAAATAACTACATAACTGTATATGTGATACAAGTATACACTCCATTCAAGAGTACAACTGAAAACCCTATGTGGTTTTTTCCAAAGCCATATCATAATACAAAAATGTATTATTGACTAGTTTAAAACTATTATATAGCTATTAAAGCAAGTATTGAACAATTTTGGACAAAAATAATCCTTTAAGTTTCAGGTGTAAAAGTAATAGTAAATGTTTTTTGCAGTTAAGCAGCAACAATAAAACACTACAGTTTTTATTGCTGTAGTAGTCCAAACAATAATTTTGTTTTTTTTTGTAGGTCATCAAGCAGATGGAAGCCTGGTTAGCAGCACTGTAAGAAACACAGCGGATGCAGTTGAATTCTTTGACAAATTGTTTGATAGTTGCAATGGATCACGAGGAGGCCAAGCTCCCGGATATTGAGGGGCCCTGTGAAACTTAATTCACCACATGCAGTATTTTGGGCTGATGCAATTAAAACTATTAAAATTTATATATATATTAATCATGCTAGCAGAACACAAAAAAATTAAAAATGTTCCCACATTGGATAATGTGATGACAACCTTAGAAAGCCATTTAAGGTTAAAAGATGTCTTGTTTTCTAAAAAAGTTTTGTTCTATCATACAAGTAATTTCAACCAAGATCCCCTGAAAAACTTTTTTGGTAAAATAAGATCTCACAATTATGAAATAATAATCCAGATACATACACATTCGAAAACTCTTTCAAATCCTTGATTATGACCAATATGCTAAGTATTTATTCTAATTATGCAAATTGTGAGGATGATGTAGGGGCAACAATATTAAATCTAAAGTAATTGTTGTCCCCATGTCATTCATACCAAGCAACCACGATTGTAGAAAAAGAGCCAAATATTGTACAGAAGAATGCTGCAATATCAACTTCTTCTGCTTTCATACAGGTTACATAATCAATAATGTAAGGGGTTTAAACATTGAGTTAAAACAACACTAGAGAAGCAAACCTCATTATCACACGTCGAAAAAAGTGTAGCCACTTTTGAACTTTGACGACGTAGCTTTGATACCACTAAACATTTGAAAGTAAACATATTTATGTCTCATTTACACGCGAGACAAGAACAATACCATCGCTCGGATTAGACAAAGACAAAGATATAACTTTACGATGGTGGGCCAGTGTTGACTACCGTATGAAATTTTACCCATAACAACTAAGAAACAATTTTTTTTTAAAACAATTTTGTAATAAAATAAATTAATTTGAATATTCTAAATAATATATTTCGAATTGAATAGAATAGGTATAAATAATAAAATAACTGGAAATATTTGGTTAAAAGGGTTTATATTCAGTGTAAAATCAAACTGCGCTGTGAAGCATCAGTTTTGTATACAATTGTCTTTTAGACTCTTTTTTATAAGTTTGTGTGGATATTTTACTTTCATGATACAATCTTATTTTTACGTATGTAAAAATAATAGCATTTAATAATAAAAGTGAATGATCAACTTGTACTGATAATAAATAATCCCCAGGGTGTATTGCAAATTCTATTATAATTTAAAAAACAAATAAAAAAAAAAAAAAAATTTTTATTTTATAAAAAAAAATATTTATGTTTATTTACTTTTTTATTTTATATTTTTATTTTTATGATAAACATTTATTATTATTATTATTATTTTGTACAATTATTATTTAAAATTGATAATAAATTAAGAAAAACAATGAATAAATTTTTTTGTACAAAAGTCTCCAGCACTGCGAGCTTGGCACTTCTGCCAAGCTCGCAGTGAACGTTCAACGGGTCCCTAAAAAAAGGGATCGGTCCAGCCCTAACAACTACCGTTCTTCCTATATTTTATTATTATTGGCAAAATGTTTAAAAACAGTATAAAGCATATTATTTCATAAATTATAAATTCTCCCACTAATGTGGGAAAACCAAAATGATTTTTTAATGGTAACACTGATTCTAAATTACAATTATCAGTGTTTTATTTCAATTATAGCCTTATTTACGATATTATCAATACAAAAACCATAAACTTACACGTGAAAAGTAATTCCGCATATTTATTAATGTTTTGTGACCTTGAATCGCATTCTTTCACTACGCATTTAGCCATTTTAGCGATTGTTACTGTCATGTGTCGCTATGTTCAACTCGGTTGACGCCACATTGAATAATGAATTGACGTTTGCTACGCATATGCCTGTGGACATATGTGCAGTAGCAACGATTTTAGGCGGTAATTACTCATCTATGTAAGTATTATATCAATGGGTTTAAATGTATTAAATGCAAAAAAAAACAATGATTAGAAAGGAGTTGACAAATGTGCATGAATTAACTTTGTATAGAGAACGAAAAAGTTTAAAAAACAAAAACTTAAAGTATCCCTGTACCCAATTATTGTAGCATTTTCTCAATTAATCAATGCAATAAACTAATACTTGGACATAACTGCAATAAAAAATATGTATACAAGAATGTCAGACAAAAATATTTAGAAGAAATAAATTTGGAATGGTTGGGCTGTTCTTCCCATAAAGATCTATTAAAAGAACATTTTATTAAGATCATAACACGATTACAAATTTTTAATTGGTGCCGAGGCATCAACTTAATTTTGGGTGGAACAGTTCAAAGAAAGGTAAAATAGGCAAATTTAAGTACAGTTCAAAAATTAGACTACAACAAGTTTATGAAAAGCAGGAAATATAAGATTAAAAACTAAAAGTTGTTTCAATTTTTGTACCTTTTTAAAAATGATGAGAATAAAAAATAAGACTAATTTCAAAATGAGGGAAACCGACTTTTCGCATCACTATTTTATAGATATCGATACGACGATTTTGATGGTATGCACTGGCCTACGTTCGGCTCACTAGCGCCCCTAGCGGATCATCGTCATGAAGACTCAAACTCATATGAAATGACGTTTGTTCAGGAGGTGTCTTATCTGTACTATGTACATATCTCTTAATCTGTGGTTAGGTCTTTTACCATAGTGTTGCGGCTCTTCAAATTCACTTGAATACGAATAATCGTTAAAATGTGCGAAATATCGAGATTTTTAAAAACGAGTCTTTTTCAATCCAGGCGTCTGAAAGTGTTTAATAATACTTAAAATTTATCTGACATCCAACTGTTAATAACAATGCATATTTAAAATTAAAAGTATGATGTTACTAAACGTAATTTAAAAAAAATCTTTGTAGGCAAAAATCACTAGTGTCAAAGTCTAGTGTATACTAAGATTTACTAGTACAACCTATGATGTACCATTACATGGACTTTTATAGTAACATACAAAAATCTGTAAAACTGTAATCGATTAGTACATACTAAGAAATTATACCGACATCTCTTAAGAATGGGATATTGTAGTAATCGATTTCTTTGATCTCATCGCTATACTAATCTATCAGAACTGTCAAACGTTACCTCTTAGATTAGATGGACTACAACAACTCCGGTCTGTCATCGTTAAATATGAATTGGATACATAGAGATCCACAGAGAGATAGAAGCATAGAGTGAACAAGAGCCCCAGTCTTGCAATATATTTCGTCAATAGATTTCGTCATAGTCAAAGATGAGATTAATGCTATTAAAATCAATCAAATTTATTTTTTTCGTACACCCTTGTTTTAGATTTACACCTTTTTCGAGTCTTGCGCTTGCGTAATAATAATAATTAAGTCGCAGTGGTTTTGTAAATCAGTCGCATGTGTGATTATATGGTTTATAAATCATATGATTTATCACATGCGATTGTGAACAATTCCATCCCTACGTCAACCGTCAACCGACTGTGTAACTGTGATAAATTTTATTGTAAATACACTTTTGTCAAAGTTGTGACACTATACAAATATTATATTGAAAAAAATATTAATTGGAGATCGATATAAATTGGAGCCATTTCATTTAAGAAATAAGAAAGGTATACAGAAGAAATAAAAGTTATACAACTTTAATAAAATGTATGACTAGTATTATTTTCTTTTAAACCAGACAACTCTTTGGAAGAAATATAATAAAATGACATCTGCAAAAACATTATTGAGATGCAGCCAGTGTAGCAAGGAGTTCAAATATGATAGTGAGAGAAAAAGGCATGAACAGAGTCACATACCGCAATTTGCGTGTAAAGTTTGCAGCAAAACTTTCAGTTTCATGTAAGTTTAAAAATATGTTTACTGGAATGTAACATGATATGTACGTAATTGTAATATGTACTAATATCTTGAGGCATTTAAGAAATAAGTTGTATGTATTAGGTGTCAGCTTTACTTTCTTAGTGTAAAACTTGCAGCATAATCTTTAAGTGCATCACATCACACATCACATCAACAGCCTTTAATAGTGCACTCCTGGACGTAGGCCTCTCCTTAGACTTAGGCCAGACGGGTTGGTATAGGGTTTGTTTCAAGTTTTCGTTTTCTTTGCAGTGCTGTTGCACTGCATAGTTTGCTCCCTTAGTCGGCTTTTACGACACCCACGCGATTAATAGGGGTGTTGACACTTGGTATTCTTAATCCGTCACTACAAGGACAAGTGTGCATCAGATGTACTAAACTTTTATGTATCTAAAAAAAAGTTTTTGTTTTGTTTTTTAAAAAGACAACTCCCGCATTAGGAATAAGTATATCCTGTGTTGCGGGGGGGAATTCATTCTGATGTGATGTGTGTCTTATGATAATATTGATATGACAATAGTTTCCACAGCTAGTTATAGGCAACAGACTGTAAACAGTGGGATAAACTGACCTCATTGTTTGACAGGTAACAAATAAGATAACATAAATAATATAACTAATTAGTTACTTGTAACAACTTTGTTTAATTTCCATTGTTATTTTTTCTAGTTTATGTATTCCTGCTTGTTTAACTGCATTATGCATCTTTATCAATTTACTAGCTGATGGCTACGCTCATGTGATTATACCTTATATTGTGTTTCTAATTTTGAAAATGACAAACTTCCAGACAGCCCTTGTTTTACCCCCTTTGATCTTCCAAAAACCCTTTTTTAGTGGTGGTACAACATAAAAAGCATCAGTTGCCCAAATTTCAAGTTTGTAGCCCCCAGTGAGTGGCTATGTGTTGATAAATCAATACAGTAAACATTTAATAAATAGGCAGATATTTGTGTGTGACAGAATAAAACTTTACTCACATTTAACTGAGTACAAAATTTTACAACTTAGTGATTCATAAATTCTTAACAGTAAATGGTGCTAACCACAGTCATTGGTCACTTTGTTCAAGAATTCTTATATGATAGTGTTCTTTTTTTAGATCCGCCCTTCGGAGGCATGAAAAACAGCATGAGCGTACAGGCAAAGCAACATGTGACTTATGCGACAAAGCTTTCAAGGACCATGTTCTACTTAAACGTCATGTCAAATATGCTCATGAAGGTAAATATGTATAGGTATTCATAATGTGACGTTTCTTTCTTTTACTGAAAATGGGAGTTGTCAGTTTATTTACATAAAACACATTTATATTGATTTTTATTTAGTTTAAATTAAAAGAGCTAAGAAACAAATTCTAAACAATTTTTATATTTCTAAGAGGAACAAGTTTGTTTAAATATTTTATTTATTTTATAAGCTGGCAATGATTTTGAGTAAGAAAGAGTTTAAGTTTAAGAGTTTCCTTTTTTTAACATCACCTGTAGCTAAGTTTTTTAGTTTTCCACAACTTGTTCATTAGAGAAAACACACCTGCTGGTGCATTTGTGCAAGGCATACATAAAACATATTCAATTAAAATACAAAAAATCCTCTACACTACGAAAATTGGCGAGGTAGCACTCGCCAATTTTCGATAATTGCCTAAACTATCGAGAAAACGGTAAAATTTTGAGTCCCGACGCTTTTCTTGGAGATACGGGGGCTAAGAACTGAAACATGGTACTGTCCCGTTAAAAACGTTGACGTATGGTCACATGAGGTATAAATTTTGCTTTCAGTTAATGAACCCGAGTCAACATAAGGACAACGTTACCCCGGGAACGTATTTGTAGGAAAAGTATCCTATGCCCTGTGTCTCCGTACTGTCGTTTTACGAAACAAAAGCAAAGAAGATTGTTTTACTACGAAAATGCCACTGATATGTTTTGCTTTGCCTATACTGATGGCATAATTAGCTAGAATAAAATAATAATGTATGAAAGAAAGACAGAAAATAATAATATTGCGATGTACATACTTAGTTTTCATATGCTAAGGGTTTAATAATGGCTAACAGATATACTTTTTGTCTTAGGATTACATACTTGTTCAAAATGCGACAGTGTGTTTAACAGTGAACCAGCATTACGTACACACTTGAGAACACACAAGGCGGAATCTGAGAGGCGGTACCAATGTAGCTTTGAAGGATGCAGCAAGAAATTTAATTTCGCACATCATTTAAAACATCACGAGTTAACACATACAAATACTAAGCAGTATTTTTGTAAAATATGTGCTAAAGGTGAGATAAATAGACAGTTTAAATGAAAAAGCACTAACTTTTCGAGGTATTAATGTTTATGGTTAATTCTTATCCATATTAAGGGTATATTTAATGTTTTTCCCTAACAACTACAGATTACAGTATAATGTGTAACTCAGGTTTGATAATGATCAATGATAGTTTATCTATATCAATCGAGTCCACTAATCTCAAGGCTAATTAGTTTTCACAATCACTAAATTTGTTGTTTTTAAAATTAAATATTTTCTAAAAAGTAAATATACTACCCAATCACCAATGCATGCAGCATGCAGTTTTAAGCATCAATAAAAATGTTGCAAAAGAGGGGCAAGTTTATTATTTTTGAAAAAAAAAGCAAATAAAACCAGCCAAGTGCGTATCGAGTTAGGTAACTATGGAACCCTACATTAAACCCTTCACAATAATGCGAACTAATACATTACTGATATAAAAATATGACAAGGACGTCTTGTTATTTCATTTTAAAAACATTTCACATTTGCGGTTCACATCGGCGGCCTATAACGTCGAATTACTTGGTCGACTATTACTCGTAAACTAATAAAGGTTGTGGTAGTTTATTATTATATATTCTACAACATTCACACAACGCCATCTAGTCCCAAACTAAGCAGAGCTTGTACTATGGCTACTAGACAACTTATATAAATACATATATACTTTTTTTTTGTAAATACATACTTATTATACATAGAAACACCCAGACCAAATCAAACATTAAATGTTCATGCACACAAATGTTTGACTTGAGCGGGACCCGAACCCGCGACCTTTGGATTAGCAGTCCCGTACACAAACCTCTAGGCCATAGTACTGTGATTTTTTCAGATCTCCAAATACTGCCGTTATGCTAGGGGGTTCGCTTTAAGGCTTAATATCTCACAAACGGATGCCTTAATCAAAATATGGTCTTCACAAACCCTTATTATGTTTAAAAGACCAATACAATGACACCCCACATCATGGGATGGATGAGTATAAAAAGTAAAATCTCCAACTCAAAGGTCCAGTTCCTTTTGGTGGGATGTTATTTACCCTAAAAAGGTACCGTATTTATTTTACCACTTGTTCGGCGTGATTAATATGTATATGCGAAATTAAACGAAATTAAGACTATTATCTGTAAGATATAATGTGGACCGACGAACGGACGGACATGACGAAACTGTAAGGGTTCCGTTATTGCCATTTTGGCAACGGAACTATAAAAAATGGCCATTGCAAGATTTTAGTAGATCTGCTAAGTTGCCATTTATAAATTGGTCTGTTAAAATGAATATTTTTTTTCAGGTTTCATTCAATCACATCATTTGAAGACGCACCTCAAAACTCACAGCGTTGACTATTCATTACATTGTACTTTTCCGCATTGCAATAAAAAATTCGCCACTGAGTATGCGAAGAAAAGACATGAGGCTAAACATGGTGAGTATTCTGTTTTGACACTTCTTCGCTGTTTCGAATACTCAGTCTCTAATTCTCCTGAAACATTTTGTAACAAAAAAACGCCTTCAAACCTCTGGAAACTTCTAAAACATTGGGAAACATTTTTGAAGGTTTTAGCTTCCTGCATTTATATGCATGAACTCCTAATTTCCACATTCTTTACTTCGTGTAATTTGCGTACTTACAAAGAATTCATATTATGGATATTTTTGAGTTTGTTTGTGTGTTTTTAAAGTCGGTTTTCCACACAACAGATGTTAAAATGGACAGTGGGATATCCTCGGACTCCAATTCTGCAGCCGACACCTCAATACCCACCATTTTGAAGGATACCGATGTGAATGGTATGACTTTATTTGTTATTCAATGTAATGTGCCCTGATTATATAAGTATTATGTTGATTTGAATATAATTATATCTGTTTTATATCTTGATTATTTCCTAGATATACTGTTTTCTGAATAAAATAGAAGACTATTAGTTCGCTAATAAAGCTCGCAATCAGCACGATCTTTTTCGATATCTTCATTCGTCATATTTCACCAAAACCTAAATAAATACACAAACTTTCACAAAAATCCCTTGGTAGCAACTGTATGAAAATCTGTTCGGTAGTTTTGGAGATTATCGCGTCGAGATAGATAGACGCGACTCAGGACTTCATTTTATGAAAAGTTGTGATAATGATATTCTTAACACAATTATTTCATTTCAGATTCTATTCAGTTGCATAAATTGAATTTGGAATCCCAAAGCACAGACTCTTCATCATATACCTTTGCTGATTCTTATAATAAACTTGCCAACGAGTATGTAGAGGAAAATTACTCGCAAAAATATAGTAAGTATATTTACACTTTACTCTATAAATATAATGCAGGTGTTGTAGTAAAAATGACACACCCTCTAATCACGAGTTGCGAAAATTTCGCAAGTTTGCACAGCCGGGCTGCATAATTAATATTAAATAACCTTTATCAACATTATTAATTGGAATTAATCGTCATGGACACAATAAAATATAGTGATCGCAATACTTCTCACTTTTGTTTTCGTTCAGAATCCCAGAAGGTGCATCCAACTTTCCAGAAGTATTTGGTTATTGTAACTAGATTAAGTACTATACTAGATATAATAGATGTAAATCGGGAATTTTTGGAACATTCTGGAATGTTCGAACTATTTTTAGAAAAATGCTATTAGTTACGCTACTGGAAAACGAGTGTCGTGACGCATCTTAATTGGTCGACCGCAAAAGTACTCAGTCTGGGGAGAAACATGTTTCGTTGACATTCTGATCAAATATATATTTTTGAAGATAACTAATTTATGTGTGTTATATCCATAGGCTTATTTAATTGATAATGAAATTAAAAAGTTTGAAATAGCAGAAACGTTAAAATTTACCTAGTGTAGTTCCACTTTTAATGTTTTTATAGGTATTTATACGCGGATATGTACATTTATTACGCTCATTGGTTATGTGTAAGCAAGTTATGAGCCATTCTTTTTTTCTACATCACCCTTACAGGTCTCCAGTAAGTCCGCCTATGTACCTAATGCGTCTTAAGATTAAATGAAAAATAATATATAGTTAGAAAAATTTCGCATAAAATTTTGTTTCAATCAAAAGTGAAACATTTTCATCACCTCAACTAAATTTGGCATTAAAGGATGACCAACCAGCGCTAAATGCCTACTACACTATTGAAATTTCGATTCAGAGGGCCAAGTCATCAACAGCCTTTAATAGTCCACTACTGGACATAGGCCTCTCCTTAGAAAGGAGGTTTTGGCCTACTATATCACACTGGCCAGACGGGTTGGTATAGGGTTTGTGTCAAGTTTTCCTTCTTTTTGCAGTGCTGGTGTCCAGCGTTGTTTTGCGCCCTTAGTCGGCTCATACGACACCCACGGGATGAATGCCAAGTGCGAGTTTATTTCACTTCTATTCGATTTTAACGGTGACCACGTTCGGCGTTACAATCGAAAGTGCGGGCCCGCACTGAAATCTCCACCAATCGATGATCGAGAGCGAGTCGATGTGAAATAAACTTGCACTCAGCGCTCAGAAGACCAATTCTCTTAATAAAAATTCGGTCAAAATCAGTTCCGATCAACTCTATATCTCGCAACTGTCATAAAAGGTATATTCATAGTAAAATCGTAAAGTATTACTAAGTCTATCAGATTCAATTTTTGGTGAGTATATGATATAATCACTTTACAGTCAACGTTAGATGTTTAATATTTTACTACGGAAACACCTTTTATTGCAGATCGAGAGTTGATTGGAAATGAATTTTGACCTAGTTTTTTTTACGAGATTTGACCTTTTGCCTATTACAAGCAAACGAAATTGACATAAACTTCTGTTTCAGATGAGAACATATCGCCATTAGAAGAAATGATCTCCAAAACAGAAAGGGAAGACCATAATATGTTGATAGATTACAATAAATTCATAGAACATATACCTGAGGACTTATCAATAAAAAATAATAACAATAATGAAAGCTCTGAAAAATATTCACTAAGAATTAGAAAAAGTGAAATGAATGACTGTAAATCAGCCGTAGGTGGCTGTATTATGAAAGAACAAAATGAAAATTGTGTGTGTGCACAAATCAGTGATACTATTAATGATGATTATGATTTTACACCAATTGGAACGGCTTTGAAACTGACTGACAGCAACTTAAACAGTAACGATACCAGAAGAAGTAAGTGTTGTGGTAGTAATCGCAGTATAACAAATGATGAAATGCCTGAATTTGAATTTAAAATTGATGGAACGGTGAAAATTAAAGAATTTATAGATATCGATATAGCTACGGAGTATGGTTTGAAAAGTGATAACAAGATTAAATGTGATGTTAACTCAGTGCCTTACAATAGCTGTAAAGCTATTTTGGGCAATTGTATTGTAAGTGGCAATGGAACGATCGGCGATGGATGCCTATGTGCTAAAATGATTATTGATGACCAAGTAACGGCTGAAGAGATAGAAGATATAACTCCGTATCCTAATAGTAGGCTTGTGATTTAGAAATGTATATCTATATTTATAAACTCTTTGTTATCAATCAATGTAAATCATGATTTTATGTATTTAATATCGCTCTTTTAGAATGCAAGTGACCTAATTCAAAATTACAGGCACGTTTAATTTTACTGGCTTTAAAAACGTAGAAGGTTGTTTATTCGGTTGTATTACTTTTATAAGTTTGTTGCTTCAGAACTCAGTCGTTTCTGAGGTCGATTTAAAAAAATATTGTCCATTATGTAACAGTTTATTATCTCATATGATCTTAAAAAGCCTAGTATAAACCCCAATGAGGGAAAAGAATCAAATTATAAGTAAGAATGAGACAGTCTCTACATCAGACACTTTCGTTGATCATTGTATTCCTCTATGCCCTATGCATTCTTCTAAGTAAAGACTCTTGAATTTTTACAAATCGAAATTTTTACAAATCAATTTTTACGTTAGGCCACTTTCATTCTGTAGTTGCGATCTATTATCTAGTAACGTTACGAAGTGCCTGTGGATTATGAACACTATTAATTTTTTGTTACTTGTTATACACCTATCCAAAGAGTTTAATAATTTAATAAAAGTAATATAAATGTTGATTGTTGAGCATGTTTTTAATTTCGTTATCACTCTTCAACTTCAACAGTAAAAGTCAACTTAAATATTTCATCTCATGTCGATGCAAATATACAAAATTTAAAATAAATACATAAATCTTGCTGCAGGGTAGGCAGAAACAACCCGTTTTGACTCCATTACTACAAATCTACTTCACTTTAAAGTCATCTATTGTCATTAAAAATATTCTACTATCATTTACCATGGGTTTCCCTATCAGAACAGAATAGAGCCATTATTTGCATAGATGTGGTAAAACGCAATTAAATAGAATATGTACAGTCAACGCAGGCTTGTAATAAAAATAATCTACGAATTAATACATAAGTGAAGATGATTCTTTCCATCCCTTATTAAAAAAATATGGCGTAAGGAAGTATATTTGGAGTACTTAATGTTCCAATGTAGAGGCACTGAAAGCTAACATTTTAAACAATATGTGATAAAAAGGTAAACAGTATTAAGAACGGCTACATGGAATATGAGTCTTGCATATTTTATTTGTTTGGCGAGGGAAAGTAAAAAGTTATTTGTTAGTAATGTATCGAAAGTTTTCGAGTTAAAACCAGTGTTGCCAACAAGTAAATGAACTGTCTACCAGATTCAACATCTAAAACCATCAGAAAACCACTAACGACTAACGACCCTATTCTAATAAGCACTAAATTTTCCACTAAACATTTTTTTTAGTAATTATGAAAAAAAAAACATAAGTAAACTAATAGTTTCCTTAATATTATTAAAATTTAATACTGACACTAATCGTTTTTGTCAGCACCATCATAATCGGTTCCAGATGAATGCGAAATTTTAGTACCGATTTGTTTTACAACGTTTATTGGAATTTCATATTTTTTGCAGCGTTCTTCTTCCAGCTTCAAACCACTGCGTATTCTTAACATAGCAGATAAAGATTTAACTTAATTCTATGCCTCTGTTTATACCTATAGTCTCTTAACTCAACATCGGCATTGAAACGAGGCAGTATTAAGAGAGTAATACTAAAGGTCGCTAATTCTTCAAATGTCGAAGTCTCTTGTACCCTTGGGCATCTTTGAAGAGCAATACCTCTAGTATGTGGAAGTTCCATAACACGTTGCGCATTAGTAGACAACAACGGACCGAGTTTCATTGGTTTGAATGATATCAATCTTCATTTTCCTTCTGCTACTCTACTGGAACATAGAGTCGGACCCTGAATTATATCACTAGTCTGACCAATATTGTCAACTTTGAATTTTGTGCTATGCCTTCTAGGGACATCAAAAACGATCATCCTGCCTGTCTGTGGTAACGCAATATTTTGCAAGCCGTAGGATGAAAGTTACAATCCTGGATTACGTCCTCGAAGATATAGCGCACATTATTCACTTCTTTCTCGACTCCGAAAACTTTTCTTCTCTTTGGCCCAAAGCCTACATCATCCCACTGCCTAAAATTAATAATCCTTCTCTTCCCGAGCACTTCTATCCAATCCCCATCTTTCCTTTCCTATCAAACGTTCTTGAGGTTTGCGTACACATTCAGTTCTCACAGTTCATCTTTCAACAGCATTCAACAGTCCTCTACATTCTTACTGTTACTACTAACCACTAAAAAAATCTACTAGCCACTAAACAAAATTTCGCTACTAAAATGTCGAAACCACCAGTTTTAGTGGAAAATTCACTATGTTGGCAACAGTGGTTAACAGTATATTTTTGTGCTTAGGTACTATATATTTTTATTTGTAAACAGTTGTGTTTTTTTAAGATGAGTGGTACTTAAGCTAAAGCTAACGCTCCCGTGATGTTGGGGTGGGGGCTATTAAGTATCCTGTGTAATCTATTGTTAAGTGAGTTTCAAGGTATTTTGACGTGAAAGATAATACTGGGAGTCAAGTAGCTCATTAAGCAGTCATAAATGGATATTAAGACCCTTGTGCCTTTTCTTATCTAACACGCTTTTATTAGCTTCACCTGTAACGGATTACTTGAACATGATTTTCATTCACTTTAAAACGTCGGATTGAATAGAAACTTCGCACATTAGCCAAGGGCCGATAACAATACATTAATTTAATAAGGGTGTCCGATTATGCTGATCAGGGTCTTCTATTTCACTTCGATCTACTGAAGAATATGTGTCTTACTAACTAAAGTACTGTGCACTTCTTAATGATTCTGCAAATCATTATTACAAGAAACCGGTGTTTTGCATGTCACAATATCCATATGATGAACATAGGCACAAAAAAAAACTCAAATTTAATTATTATTATTAACTTTATATTTATTTACAACATAATTCAATTATTTTACAAATCAACCATTTATACAAAATATTTATCTTAGTTAACAAATTCTAAATTAATTATTATTTTACAATCAGACCTCACTTCTGCGTAATATCACTAAGTTAATAAGTACAAACGGAATGTAGTTACCGGCGAGTTATCACAATTCGGCATGGCAGACAATCACAAGAAAATAAATTGCCACGTAAACCTAGCACTTAAAGTTTTATTTTCAAACTCGTTACAGCTTCCGATCAAAGAATAATTTCATTTATAATAATAATATACATTTAGCTATGGTAACAATAATTACAAGATAGGGCTTTCAGGTAATCCTCTAGACGAGGTCTTTATCATACAAAATCTAAAATCTTTTTATGTTTGTTCAATAAAACATGGACGGCATACATAAAGTACAAACAATTCATCGTATTATTTATTTTTCAATACAACTATTTTTTTTATGTAGACAAAGCAATAAATAAATCTAAATCTTTCTTCCAAGACGATGACTTTTCTAGTTTGACTAGTCTAACGAATAAAATGTTTACGATAACCATACAGAAAAATAAAAATGAAGGCACCGCGTAAGATTATTAGGATCAAAACCACTCAACTGGAGTTAGTTTAAGACACTAGAATGAGCTAAAACTTTTTTGGAATGAAAAGTTTTTTATTTAAAAATATGATGTAATAGAAACGTACCTACATACTTTCATTATCTGTATTTAGTCTTTTCAATTGGTTGATTTCGATTTTAAGATAGCTACCAGAAATTTTAGTCAATAGAAAAATATGTTTTTGTGAAAACGATAAATATAGGTATTGTTTAAAACGCTTATAAACTTTTCATGGCAACGAAATTTTCAAAATTAACTGATGAATAAACAGTATTTTGGAAGCAAACTTCATCGCTGCGCTTGTAAAAATACTAAAATAAAGATAAATAGGGATAGAAGGCAGAATCTATGTTTAAATACGAGTAATGGTCTTATTTGTAGCTAAAAGTGAGACGGTTGAGAATAATTACTTTCAGTGATTTTTTTAATTACAATTCAAATTTTAATATTCTCTTTATTGCTTCTCAACAATACAACTCTGATCACTTACTTCAGTATTTAATTGACTGTAGACATTCACTTTAAGATTTAACACCTTCTTTATATTGAACTATACATAGGTTACGTTATTATTACATAGTGTCTAAAACCAGATTGATCTACTATGACCATGGAGCACAAGTGCAAGTGAAATAGTAATATAAACCTAATTGCGGGTTAAGTCCCAGTGAACTTGTTTACGCTTCATTAACGTTTACTGCATCAAATTTGTTAGCATCTAATGTCCTTTTATCACTTTTTGGCAAATCACTTTCTGTTATATCATTGAAGCTTTCATTTTTTTCACCATCACCAGTAGGCAATTCTTTTTCTTCTTCGGTAATAGGTACGACTCTGAGGAACTCGCTTTCATTGACGGGCACGACAGGTATCGATGTTGTAGCAACTGGCTGGTTGTCCAAATGACTACTACTTAAAGTTGTTGACACTTCTTTAGTAGTAACCAGATCGTCAGTATCTAATAAAAATGTTGAAATAGGTACCGTTTCGTTTTCTTTTGTTCTAAGCGCAATATTAGAATCCATTGTCACGTTTCTGGCATCATTAATGTTTTCAAGAGAACTCTCATTTGCATGTTTATGGAAATAAGTTTCTTCTGTGGTTACTATAACATTTTGAGTCTCCTTCATTTCAGAAGTAGTGAAGGGGATATTTGAAGTATCTTTATTTGTAGCTTGTCCCTCCGTGGATGTGAGAATGTGTTCTTCTATGTTTTCATTTTGAGTTTCGTTCAAGTTAATCGGTTCAAGGTCATGGCCTTCTTGAAGTTTTTTTACCAAGATTTTATTATTTTCAACTTCTGGTAAAAAGGGATTCATTTCGGTCTCGTGATCATCATACTCTGCTGATTGAACAGTAGAAGTTTTTGTGACCGAAGACTTGTTATCGTTCTGACTCGATATTTCATAAATAGTTACGTTAAAGTTATTTCCTTGAGTGGTATTTTGAAGTTCACTATTAGAGATATCAGAACTAACAATTTCAGTGATATTTGGATTTTCAATATTTTCATTTACTTGTATTGTAGTGGTAGGTGAAATAGTAGTTGTAGGCAGTTGAATTTCATCAATCCTTACATGATGATCAGACTCCATCAGGTCCACAACTCGACTTGTTGACTCAACTGGTTCGGACATTTCTTTTACTCCGAGAGTGTTTTCCGTTACAGACTCTTCCCAAACTGGGGCTGGTGCAGCAGTAACAGCCGGGGACGAAGATGATGGATAGTTTATATTAGTTTCATTAAGCATTAGGAGACTTATTTGTGGTAATTTTGACCTTTCCTCCGATATTTTGTAAATATACTCACTTACCGTTGTCGTTTCCATATGTACACTTGGAGTAGGTATTAAATCTGATGTAGTTATGAGAATTGAACTTTTTTCATTTGATACTTCTTTATTAACTCTCTTGAAACGGCTGTCTTCATTGTCGTAATCGTGGACCATGCTATATAGCGGTTCATCATCCTGTTTATTATTTGAACCCATATTATTGAGGTAGTCAGGTTCAAAGTCATCTTTAGCGAGGCCGTTGTGAATTACATCGTCTAGTTTACTTGCACTAGATTCTGTAGTATCTCGATTTCCAATTTTATTCATTATATCATCGTAGTTCATTTCTGTCACAGGTTCTGACAACCAATCAGAGTCAGTTGTAGTAGTTCCCTCATTCAATAAAGTTACCGTTTCTTGAGTATTAGTACTTACTGTATTGTTTTTTGCCAAGTTTTCAATAGATTTGGATGAGCGGTTGTAAAGCATATTAATGGAATCAAAAGTAATGTCTATGCCTTCTTCAGGTTCATGCTCGGTCGAGGTTTCATTAGAGACAACAGTAGCTTTATGTTCCAAAATATCTATTAACTTTTCTTCTTTGGAGTTTTGATAATGCTTATTGAGAGAAAATTCTGTTTCCATTTCTGGTGTTGTTGTTCCAGTTGGTGCCGGTGTATTAGAATCTAATGAGTTAGCTTCCTGCAAAATAGAAGTGATCATAGAACCATTTTCGACTTGCTTCTCATTTTCTGGTGTTGTTTCTTTTTCATTGTCTTTAATAGGATCACTGTATTCAATAGGAGCATGGTTTCTGATTCCGAAAAGACTGTTCGTGGTTTCGCTCATCTCTGTTGTTGTAGTTGCTGTTGTTAATTCAACCATTTCGAGTGTGTTTACATTTTCAAACATGCCTTCATTTTGTGATACGCTTGTCGCCTTATTGTCGCCTTCGATCCTTTGTAATGTTTCCTGCGTTGAAGGTATTGATTTATTTAGAGTCGAGTTGTATTCAGTGGTTGAATCATCATGACTTGTATCATTAAACATCAAGGAAGTGGTGGTTTCAAACACCAAGTCTTCATCATCAAAAGACTTGAATGACCTTTGTTCTGATTGTTGCATAATATTGTTCACACTGTTACTTAAGATATTCGCATAATTATTGCTAACACTATCATTCGATTCTATTGATGAAGTTTTTATATTTGTTGGATCTTGAGCTTCAAGCCAATCATTGGATTCTGTAGTGGTGAACACTTCATTAGTTTTAGTACTGTTTTGATTGAATGATTGTCTATTATAACTTAAGATTGAAATGATGTCTGGTTTTACTTCGTCAGATGAATCACTTATTATATTTGAGCCAGATATGGAAACTCTTGCAGTAGTAGTCTTGTCCATAGCATCATCAGGTTTGAATTCCAATTTACCTCCATTGTTAAACATTACTGATTTGTCTTCGTTAGATTCCTCCTCAGATTTAGAGTCCGATGCTGAGGTTGAATGTGGTTCTGTGTTTATTAAAGGTTTCACATCAGTTTCGTGTTCACCGTCTTGAATGTTGTTGATAATATTATGAATAGTTTCTTGGAATGATTTCGGTTTAGGTGTTGTTTGGTAGTCAGATGTCGATTCATTCTCGGCAACAGGTTGTAGCGTCAATTGTGGTTCATCAGGGGAAATTAATGTGGGAATAATAGTGTAATGGGAACTTCCAAGCGTTGTTGTTTCCAGTTCTAGTTTTAATTTTGATTCTGATTCCGTCGATGTTTGTAATTCTGTTTCTAAACTAAGTTCTGGTTCCCTTACCGACATTGGTCCTGACTTGGATTGCATTTCTGGTTCCGATTTGGACTCCAATTCTGGCTCATATTTGAACTCCGGTTCTGGCTCAGACTTTGACTCCGGTTCTGACTCAGGTTCTGGCTCAGGTTTTGGATCTGCTAATTTTATATGCGGCTCTGGCTCAGGTTCAGCTGTCGGCTTTGGTTCCGGTTCAGGTGTAGGTTCCGCTATTAGTGGTGGTTCCGACCTTTGATCCGTAGGCTCTGGTTCTGATTTTGACTCTGGTTCCAATTTAGACTCTACTTCGGGTTCCGATTTTGACTCTGGTTCCAACTTTGACTCTACTTCGGGTTCCGATTTTGGCTCTGGTTCCGGCTCTGACCTTGTATCTGAATCTGATTCAAGCCCTGACTTTATCTCAAATTGTGGTTCATTTTTAGTGCTTATTTCTGTATCAGTACTCTCACTTTTCGGTTTGGGCTCAAAGTTAGGCCGTAAATTGGGCTCTGCAATTGGCTCTGGCTCAGCGGTAGGTTCAATAGTCGAATGAAGATCTATATCAGTTTGAGACGTTGGTAAACCTTTTAGTCCAGGTTCATCCTTTTTTTTTGATAATTCCGATTCATCTTCTTTCGTTTTCCGTTCGTCAGGATGTTCTGTTGGATTGCCAATGATTTGTGAGAAGCTTACCTCAGTCTCAGCGTCAGTCGTTGTTTCTGGCATTACATGATGTGGTTCTTGCCAAAGAACTGGTTGTTCCGCTGAATGTTCTGACTCTACTGGCACTTTAACTCCATCAGTAGGTTTAGCCTTTGTGTCAGTACTTTCGTTGGAGGTAGGCGCTACTGTAGAATTCACCTCTACTCCTTCTTGGCTTTCACTTCGAGTTTCAGTATTTCCAAAGAATGACATGCATTTTTTAGGATTTGTCATATCTATGATTTTGCCAGGAGGACACGTGCAAATAAAATCTAGAGATGTTTCATCGAACTTACAGCCATATTCGCAGCCGTTTTTATTGATTTGACATATGTCGAGTACAGGTCTGGTGACAATTTTGTCATCAGCGATGTGGTAGATGTTGATCATTCTGTTGTTTTTGTTTAAATAATCGTTGAGAATAGCCTTCAGTGTATTAGCGGTTAACAAATCCTCAGGCGGAGGAGTTGTGCTAGATTCAGCGCGAACTTTAGTGTTCCAGTGGACTCTGTAGGTGACGATGATTGACCCTTCTCTGTAAACAAAGGAGAACATGTGTGTTTTAAACATTTAATTGAAACCAATTTGTGATATTTATAATTAAATTTGAAATTCAAATAAGATTTGAACATATATAAAAACACACTTTATGATTTGGCATTAAAAATAATTAATGTATTATGTTAAATAATTATTTTTATCTTCAAGTTAATTTTAACCTGAGCTGAGATTCTTACCTAAGCTGTACAACCTCGACTGTGATTTCATTGTCGTTGTTCTCTAGAACATCTTTGTCAAAGATGGCTCGTTTCAACGCTGAAGTGAAGGTATTTACAAACTCTCTGTACTCGTTGCTATCGACGTCCTGGAGAGCAGGAGTGAATTCCTCGTTATCCACCTTTACTTCTCCTTCCACGGTTCTTGACACTAGAAAAATTGTTTTAAAAATTGTTTACAAATTATGAAACTGTGTGTGAAGAGTAGGTAGGCAGATTTTTAGTGCACTTAATTTCTTTGTCTTTTAACTATTTGTTTTTAAGGTGTTTATGACGGTCTAAGAAAACAGTGTAATGTTTTCAGGGTTTGTATATGTTCATTCATATCATAAACTAGGTGTACACTGCCACGCTGCGCTCTGCACATTGTGGTTACATTGATGAGAAATGCGTAAGACAACTGATGTGAAAATTAGATAAAAAACTCTTTGAAACAGTTTTTATATCGTGTTAAAATTTGAGCTGAAACGGTGGAGAATTTTCGAGTTTTTGTAGCCTACAGAAACCAATATAACATTTTTCTATTATATATGTCCCAAAATTCAATGATAAGCCGTTACCAGATGGTGGACCTGCTTTTGAATACTCAACGAAACAAAGAAAAAAATATAAATCTCATTTTTTTTTAAAATTACAATAAACGATTTGTTAATTTTAGAAAATTGACACCCAACATACTTTTTCAAATAATTATATTTTTTTTTGTGTCAGTAACCTTAATAGTACTGCAATCCATCTCAATTCTTAAAAATTCTGCCTGTAGTTTTACACAAAAATAAATCAAAATATTTTTCCTAAAATTTAAAAGATTTTTACTTTTACGCCACCTTCAGCGATCGTGTTGTAAAAAAAATATATCTAAACTTTAGTAAAAAGAAAGTATGTAAAAAACCGTCTGGTGCTTGCTTATCATTGAATTTTAGGAGACACAGTGTATAGATCACGATGATTGACTATCATTATTTACTATTTGTAAAATCGATGTCAATATTTTTCCATCACTACTTACCATACATTTGATTGGATTCCTCCGACACAATGGAAGGTTCTCGTACTTCATCGCTTTGTGCCTCTGGTCCGTGTTGGTCGGCGGCTTCTTTGCTTTGGTCGGGGTACTCGTTGTGGTCTTCGTCATTGTGCTCGTGGTCGTTTTCGTGGTCGTGGCCGGGGTGCAGGTGGCTGCCAATGCCACCTAGTGCTCTCGCAGAGCTAATCGACGAGTTGTATTGTTCCAATGGTGTCGGTGAGTTCGCGAAGAGGATGCCAGCTAGAAGTTGAAAATGGTTAATTATAGCAATGTTAAAAATGAATTTAGTAGCACGAAAATTTTGGCTGAGTAGGTTACAAGTTTTATGTAAGATTAACGTAAAAACAAATTAAAATGTGACATTAATTAAAAGTCCTAGTGCTTGTTTGCCACAGTTCAGGTCCCGCACTGACTTTGTAAAGTAAACATTTTTCATAATGATCTCAACGTTTTCAAAAGTACAAAACTTTAAAAGAATCTAAGCAACTAAGGTAAAAATGCATCCACACTAATAGTGAAATTGCGAAAGTGTATCCGTCTCTCTGTCTGTTACCTCTTCACGCTTAAATTGCTAAACCGATTTATAGTATAGAGATAGTTTGATTCTTGATAAAGGAGACTACTTTTTACCGCGATAACCGGGCGGAGCCACGGGCAAAAGCTAGTAGTTTATAATACGTTATATACGTTATAAGTACAGAAAGCATTACAGCTTTTGTTACAAAGTTTTGTATTTATAAATTAAATTATACGATAGTGATTACAAAAAGCTGCAGGACTTCATTGTTGACCTGTCAATCCTGTCATGATGCGAATAGTCTATACAATGTCAAGACTTTTTTCTAGATGAAAGATAAATATCCTATGCCTCTTGTGGCTCTGTCAGCGTTTATAGAAAAATTTAAAGAAAAGGCCATACGAATTTACTTAGGCATTTACAACAATAGTTAGGATTGAATGACTTAATTCAAAAGAGACAAGGGAACTTACTGGCTGCTAGCACGATGAGGGCCACGATAGCTGCTACGACGAGCCCCAGCAGTGTCCAGCACAGGGGTCGCTTGCAGCCACCTTTCTCTCCTCTTTTGTCCGCTGTTACGTATAGCTTCTCGCCTCTGGAAGAAAGAACACGTTTTAATTTTTAATCGACTTTGGAAAAAGAAGAATGTTCTCAATCTGGTTGTATTTTATTAAAGTTTAAACATTCGAAATTCGCTATTTATAAGCCTAATTGAAATTTGATTTTTTTTTTATTTCCGAGGGTACACTTCCCGTTCGATCGCGTTTAAATTTGAAGAAAAATACTACCCGTGAGGGTGGGAAATTAGGCAATGAAGAAAACAGTTGAATACAGGTATATTTTTAGGGTTTAAATCACGTCATTCTGTAAATATATCATTTTAGTTTGCCACAAACTTAACAAGAAGGTACCTACTTCCAAAGTGATTATATCATAAAAACTTGAATAAGACAACCAAATTACTTTATTACGCTGTGAAATCATTTGTTACTTCTTATTTCTTACAACAATAGGTTTTTTTTATGTTAGAGGGGGCAGACGAGCAGACCTGATGGAAAGTGACCATCGCCGCCGATGAACGGCTGCAACTCGGGAGTCACAAACGCGTTGCCGGCCTTTTAGGAAGTAGTACGCTCTTTACTTGAAGGTTTGAAGGTCGTATCGGTTCGAGAATACCACAGACAAAAAGTGTCTCGAAAAGCGCACAGTAGTGGAGCGCCAACCATCATCTAGGTGATGAGAATGAAAACTTGGGCTTGTAGAACAATGGCGGAAAGGTAAATCAATTTGCGGAACAGTTTTTCTCATTAGCTAAGCGCGGGTGAACGAACTAATTGCTCGATAGACAGAGGTCAAGCACATTAATTAACTATCATAATTGAGCCAAAATAATTTGTTTTTCTTTCTTACGTTGATAAGCAGTCTTCGTGATCACAAGTTACTAAAAGACTCGCTGCTTGATTCTCCATCGCGAACAACCACCAGTGTGATACCCAGTTGCTTTGTCCAACAAAATGAATGAACAGCATTATACCTTTTGTGCTCCTTACAAAACTTTGTAGGTCTACCCACATAATTTTGTTTTGGTCGAAATTAATTGCCATATACGACTGTGTGTAATAACGTTAAATACATACATTATGTTATTATCAACGCGAATAATTTTAATTATTCTTCCAGGGCTTTCATGTTGTAAAAATAATTTATATTTTGCTTTAATAAGATCGTTAATTGGTTTGGTAGTAAAATATATATTTTATAATTAAATTGGAAGTACATATTAACCACGGTATTAACAGTCATTTTGACATTTATTATTGTTTATATCTTGTGGAGGAGAAAGAGAGTCATATTCAAAACTTAAAACATAAAAAAATCTTCATTCAACCCTTGAGACTTCCAACCACCACTCCTAGAGCCAACTATTGGACACCACGGCAGTCGCTTTAATTTTCAACAACAATTTTTCTCAGAAGGAGTAAACAGAGGTATATTAGAGGCTCGCATTTAGCCATTTTTAAGAAGGTACAATAGCGGAGGGGGGGAGGGTCTGGGGTACTTTAGGAACTAAAGATGGGTAAATAGGGAGTTTATCGGATGAAAATTCAAAATTGAGCTAAACCCCTCTAATGGTAGGAAACATTAGAACCACCAAGTGTACGTTCTGCTCAATACAATATTTTTGTTCCATCCACGTCTTTAGAATAATGATTGGTGTAGACAAAAATATTCTCACTTTTTTACAAATACAAAAAGTTTAAACTCATTTATTTATCTCCTTTACTATAACTGTTCTTATTTCCTACAGAATAAGGTACATTATGCTATAGACATGTTTAATGTATTGATAATGACTTGTCTTCGGAGGATAATTTCGGATGCACCTATGCAAATACCCGGAGTTATTTAAAGGTCAGAAAGCGCAGTAAGGTGTGGTGCATTCCTGTCTCAGGACTCATTATTATTATTTTAAACGTTTAACAGTATGGTGAAATGTGTTGTATGCGTTTAGGTAACTTGCCATGTGAGTATTACTATGCGTTTACGACTAGTTCGAACTTTGCATAGTATGTTATTATGCAAGGTGCAAGCTTAATGACTACTGATTCTAGTAACTCGTTTCGTTACTTTTGTGATGAAAGCAACTGCCTGGAGCATTTATTTATTTATTATTTTGCGACGTGAGCATAAATAGTAGTTTTATTGGAAGCTAAGGTAATATATTTAAGTATGCAAGTGTGCAATTTGCATAAGTTATAAAAGAAAATTAAAGTTTTGTTGATTTTTAAATTAGTTCTAGTTGTTGATCATTTATGAGTAATTTATGGAACTATTTTTAGTTACCTCTTTCGCAGTTCGTTTGATTGTCTTTGAATAACGATATATTTTTTGTTTGTTTTTAATTAATAGTATGGAGACAAAGAATAAGATTTCTGTTCTACGCATGGAGGTGTCTTTTTTCATTTCGTGCAACTTTAAAAATCTATTATCCTCAGGTCTAACCTCCGCTTAGTTATCTTTATAAATTCTAATAAGTTTTGGGTGTAGTAATTTATTAATTTTACGATAAGATATTTTACATAATTAAAATAAATTGTAAATTTTACACATCTAAATTGTAAATAATATTTTGTAATGGAATTGCTCTTTTTATCACTTAATGTAATTTTTATAATTTATTTATTTATTTTATTGCCAATTTGTTTTATTTTTTTATTTATTGACTTTCCAACCGAGCTCGATTATTTTACAGTATAATTAAATATAGTAATTCAATTGGTCTGTTTAGATTTGGTAATTTAGATTTTCTTGTATGCCACTGGTTTTCACAGATAAAAAACAGCACATATTTAAACTGCATGGCATTAACTTGCCGGTTTTGAAAATAGAAAAGCATTGAGTCTGGTCAATAACTACGAGTGTCTCCAAAACCATAGACATAACAGAGCAGTGGGACATGTCAGTTATTACAAGCCGCCGGTGGTCGGTCGGCACTCGCGTGAGGTAAGCGCGGTCGCGCGGTTAGGTTAGGTCGTCGCCCTGTGCTTTGTTCCTGAGCCCCACCTCCGTCCCTCCGCACTGCTCCACGACCGCCCCCGTAGTCGTCTAAGTCTCATGCCGTTTGATCCTTATTTCCCAGACTTTGTCATAATACTCCTCTTGGAATTATTTAACTGTATTATAAAAAAAGAAACTAATTTTTCGTCTACTGTATAGACGAAATATTTCGTATATGGTAAAAGGGGCCTTGTATACTATATAAAACTCATTTATGTTGTACAATTTAATTGTAATATTCATTCTGATTATTCATATTATCATTCTCATTGATTTATTACTAGTTTCTCTTGAGATAATGTAAAAAGGGTTGAGGGTATTATAAAAAGTTTTATCTAATTTATATTAAAGCATTATTTGAAGATTGTACAGCATTTTTTAGGGACAGTCCATCTTTAGAGATGGTGACTAGAAGAAGAAATGAAGAAGAACATCATCAGAAGACTGTACATCATTGCCTCCTTGGGGATATTTTCGTCTCAATGGTCAGTGGGTATCAGTTTTTTCGGGGTTACATTTAATTTTACTCTTGAAAAACTACAAAATTAAAAAAAGAAGTATAGGTAGACTACTACTACTTTTTACTTTACTACTTCTTTTTTTAATTTTGTATGACTTTATAAGAGTCACAACACACATCCTTACCTCGAAACTGATTAAATAAATCACTCGAATAATTTGAAAGGTGTGGTGCGTATGGTGCGTTTTAACAAGTTAAAATCCACGAATATTACCGTCATGTCATTACGCAACTTTGCACTTCTAAGGCCACAGACAAATAGTTAAGTTACCAATTAGTGCCAAACCCGTTTTTTTAAACTCGTGAACGATCAGTGACCTACATACTTTCGGCGCGTGTGTGATCAATGATCGATCAGCTCATGAGCCGTTGAGCAAGTCTATTCAAATTATGAATGAGCTCAAATATCAATGTTTCGTTACAGTTACACAACTGGGAGAAAAGCGTGACCCTTTTTTGTTTGTTTACAACGTCACAACGTGGTTTTTAATCAAGTTCGTTTAGAATAATCTCCAGGTTTATATTCTTGTCGAATGTAGGTTATCGGACGATAGTTAAGATGCGTAAACAGTGTCTTATTAATCGTATAATTACGTGGTGTGAATTTCTATTTATTAGGCAGTCATCACTTTTGTAAAATCTGATGTTTTTTTTTGTTTCGAATATGCTGTCATAAAGGTACGGAATGATATCCACTATTACACGATAACACTCCGGCGCTCCGGTGCGGCCGGGGGGGGGTGTTGTCTAGGGCGGGACGCTGTTGCGCCTTTTATTGTGTGGAGCAGTAAAAGGCGCGACAGCGTCCTGACCCAGGGTGACCGTAGTCACCCTCACACGATGTGCCTCAGACATGGGGTACGGCAGGGAGGACTCCAGAAGCCGCCGATGCTTCTTGGAGCTCCTCCCGACTGCCGACGTAGGCCGCCGTGGAATTTAGTATGTAGACCAGTTCTCCGGTACACACGCCCTACGTTTTCTCAACGGAGGGTATTGTGCAAAAAGCATTCCTTGCGTGAAAAAAAGTGCCTGATCCCATTTAATACATATTATTAGTATATTATTAGATGTTACTGCAAAATAGTACATTTAAATCTCATCAATTTAAAGTTGCATTCCCTATAATAATATATTATTGATCAAAATTGTTCTGCAATTAAAGCCACAGCGCACATATTCCTATCAGTGGTACCTTCGTTGGAATTGAGTAAGTATTTTTATTACCAACTATAATCAACCGCTCAGTAGATTATTAGTTATTAGTATTATTTTAACTTTGACAAACCCAACGTTGGTCATGATAAGTTAAAAATAAGACTTGTACAGAGGCCCAAGTGTGAATTTATTTCACATCTACTCGATCTTCACGGTGACCGCGTTCGGTGTTGCTATTGGCCCGCATTGAAATCTTGTCGTGTCGTCGTAAGTTGATGTGAAATAAACTCGCACTTGGCCCTTTGAAAAGTAGAAAATTAAATATTCATGCATGATCTGAAGGGAAGAAGAATTTTTTAGTC